AGAATAGAAGAATGCAAGAAAGAAAAAGAGAAAGAAGGCAGGAAAGAAAGCAACAAAAACTCAATAAATAACGAAAGAAGGAAATAATGAAAGAATGAAATAATGAACGAATGAAAGAATGAAATAATGAACGAATGAAAGAATGAAATAATGAACGAATGAAATAATGAAATAATCAAATAACGCAGAATCAAAGAATGAAAGAATGACAGAACAAAAGAATGACATAATGATTGAAAGAAATCGACAAAGTAAAGCTTCTTTCAACACATATCAGTGTGTCAGGGGTTCAGGCTTCTGCTTCTTCTTCTCTCTGTCTCTCCCCCCCGAAAAGCGGCTTAGGGTCTGCAGGTTAAGGTTCAGAATTCGGGGTTCCGGTTTCCCCTGTGTAACCTCAAGTTGAGATACTCTGCCGTCCGGCGCTGGCGCCCGATTTTTTTCGGAAACTCATTCTGCAAGCGTTGTGTCTGAAAATGGCGGGGGGGGGGGGGGGCTGCGCCCCCCGCCCCCACCCCCACACCCCTTTTAAAGTCGTGCAAAGCTTCTTAAAGCCCATCATGCGAGCATTGTGTTTGCAAATGGTGGGGGTCTGCGCCCCTCCCAACCACCGTTTTTTTCAAACGGTTGAAGACATATAAGTCTTTTTGAAGCCCATCTTGTGATCATTATGTTTGCAAATGGCTGGGCCGTGCCCCCCTTCCAAATCACCCGCTTATGAAAATATGGGGGAAAAGATGGTTTTCCAAATTATATATGAGACAATGGAGGACGTCCTATTAACATGTCGGGAGGATCGAGGTTTTCCTATTAAAGTTGGAGACAACAGAAGCTTTCTTCTTGCAACGTAGAAAAAATGGTAGCCCCCCCCCCCCCCCCTCCCGCCCAAAGATCCATGTTTATCGTACCCTTTTCAGCCTTTGTTAACTTTCAAAACTTCTTAAGAATTAATCCTGAAAATTGAAGATTGAGGATTTCTGGGAGACTCTTGCCCAGGAATCTTCAATTCTCAGTTTTCATTTCCCAGAATTCGTAAGAGTTCTTAAGAACTAAGCCTGAAAATTGAAGTTTGAAGATTGAAGATTTCTGGGAGACTCTTGCCCAGGAATCTTCAGTTTTATTCTTATTTAGATGGAAATCGAAGTTTTCTCACCAGAGTCTCCCAGGAATCTTCAATCTTGTCAGGCTTAATTCTCAAGAATTCTGAAGATTTCTCAAGAATTTCTAAGAATTTCGGAAAATGAAAGCTGAGAATTGAAGATTCCTGGGCAAGAGTCTCCCAGAATCTTCAATCTTCAATCTCCAATTTCAGTATTGATCCTTAAGAATTCTCAAGAATTCTTATTCTTAAGAATTAATCCTGTTATGATAATATTGCGACACTTAATCTTGAATGAAAACTGAAATTGAAGATTCCTGGGCAAGAGTTCCCCAGAAAACTTCAACTTTCAATCTTCATTCTCAGTATTAATTCTTAAGAATTCTTAAGAATGAATCCGGTACTAAAAATATCACGACACCTAATCCAAACGAGCTTCTTGTGGTCTAGGAAATCATCAACGGAAGATCCTCACGCAGGCATTCTGCACACTTCGATCTTTCAGTTTACTCATCTGTGCACACTCCACCAAGACAGCAAAAAGGATCTCAACTTCCACGTCTCAGTCATATCATGCAGGTACTTGCGCGTTTCGCCTTGATGCTCTTTAGTTTCGGCATGTGCGTTAGAGCATGAGCAGAACAAGAAAACACAAACTCGAATCTTCCAAATTTTCAAAAGGATACCAACCCCCCTCAAAAGATAAATAAGAAAAATAATTCAAAAAAAGCTAAGGTATCTCAAGCAATCATCCCCCCAATAAGCAAAAACTGAACTCTATACTAAACAATGTATCTTATCAAACATATCTTACGCCATCACGTTCCAAAAGGCAAAATCTGAACTCTATACTAAACGCTGTACCTTAGCTAACATATCTCAAGCCATCACGCCCCAATTAGCAAAACCAAACAGCTATCCTAAAACTATACCATACCTGAGGAAATCTTAAGCAATCATCCCCCGATAAGCAAACCACGAATTCTATTATATCGATATAGTTTGTTGATATTCTAAATCCCATGAAGTAGTGAAAGGACATTTGCTCACAGTATTCTCGTGTCCCCGGGACGCAAAACCCACAAACATAGGCATAACCCCAATGGGATTTAGGGGTTTAAGACTCAAGCCCTATAGGGTTACAAGGTTCTACCGTATAGGCAAAGCCCAAACCTTCAACCCTCAGCTTTAAACCCTATAGGGTTCAATGGCTCAAAAACCTAAGGTCTGGGCATGTATACCTTCAGCGCATTTTAGGGTGAAAACCTTTGAGAGCCCTGTAACATTTTTAGGGGTCTGACCCTAAACGGTTCAGTCTTACAAGCACAAGGCATAAATGTATGGGATTTAAGGTCTAGGGATTGAAGCCTCAAGCCCTATAGGGTTATAAGGTTCTATCGTATAGGTAATGCACAAACCTTCAACCTAAACCTGTAAACTTTGTAGAGGGTTCAATGGTTCAGAAACCTCAGGTCTGGGCATGCTTACCTTCAGCGCACCTTTATGGTTAACACCTTTGAACCTTTTAGAGCCCTATTATTAATAAAGACACAGGCAGAACGTAGTAAAACCTTAGGACTTACCTTCACAACCAAAAATGGCACTTTTAAGCCCGTACGTAAATTCTGATTCTATTAATAAATCCAGTCTTTCAATATTATGCAAAAGGACATCGTTTGTTAGTATTCTCTTCTTAAAGGGCTTAAAAGGGGGGGTGTAGCAAAAAGATAGAGGCTTTCCTTTTGTAATACGGAGAAAATTAGAGGTTTTCCTATCGAAATGAAGAGGCACCCCCCCCCCCCCAACAGAAAAAAATAAATCACAAACAAAGGGCAAACAAAAAAAGGGCCAAAAAGCAACTCATCCCAGAGCTGTCATCATGAAGGTCGTTAGCGATTTCGCGTGCTGCCTCGGCAGCCAAGCCAGCCCAGCAAGCCACCGAAGCTGCACGTCGGCGGTCCAAGTGGTGCACCTCGGGACGCGGAAAGCGACTGCGGGTCGAGGAGAAGATGCCGGAGAGTCGCCGGCCCACAAACCCGATGCTTCGATGACCCCGCAGCGTTTGGGACATTTAGGCTTGCTGGAGGACATTGACAGTAAGAGCTTGCAGGGTGAGCCGGCTTTGCCAAACCGTGTGCTTGTTTCCAAGTTTGGGTTGGGGTACGGTGCCCATGGGCTTGTTGCCAAGGTAGGGGGAAATTAGGCAGGCGGCACGCAGAGGGGGGTGGAAGTGTTTGGGGGGGCTAGGCCGGATGCCGAGGCGAATTCAAAGACATTCAGTCAGAAGCACAGCCAGCACCAAGCAGCAGAGCAGACTAGGTAACTGACAGATTGCAGAAGTTGCCCGCCAAAGACGTGTCAGCCATCAGAGTGTGTTTCAGCAAGCCCAGTTGTTTGAATAAGCTAGAAGGATGCGTGCGTTCGCTGCAGGCCGTGCCTCGACGACGCCGAGGCTTGCACACAAATTTTTGAGATCTCATGAACACCAAACTTTGTCGGCCAGTTTTGCTCTAGGAACATAGCCGTCATGTTTTCCTCATCAGAGTCATAGTCAGCAAATTGCTCAACTCAGCCACAGACAACGGGTTATTGCTTCACCAAGAATCGAAGCATGTTTTTGAGTAGCGCCTTGAAAAGAAGGCGCTATTTGATTACAAAGAGCACCTCGTCCTAGGCGGCTTCAGCTCCACAGTTCCAGGAGCCTCGAGGCGGGGTCGTTTGACCACAGGAAGCTGTTGACGCTGTTGCACGAGTTTTTTTTTCTCAGCGGCTCCTTGGACTTCTGAGAGCTTCTCAGTTGCCGTTCAAAGCGGATCTTTGAGTGTTCCTGGTTTTGCTATGTCCACAAGGTTTGAGGCGGTCAAGAAGGACTTCCAAGCGCCGGAGGCTTGCTGATGTCACACCCGCTTTGAAAGATGCGAGAGCTTGTTTAGTGTGCAAGAACAGCGGTCTATCTGAAGGAGCTGAACTTCCGTTCAAGCTGTCCTATTTCGGCGGCATGGTCATTGCTGTGCTCTGACTTGCAGGATTTGCTACCTACTCCAGCACGCCAAGCTGCATGCCTACCGAGCGAGAAGAGCGAGGATCACAGCAGCCCTTGCATCTTGTGGCCTTTGCACTTGCACATAGACGAGGGTCTGCCTGGTGCTTTGCTAGAAGATCGTTCCAGCCATACTGCGCATGTTGCTATTGCACTGATGTGTGTGATGCTAGTTTTGGCTGGGGTCGTGAAAGTGAAAGCCTCCAGCTTTAATGGGTACAGACAGCTGACCATGCATCAGCCCATCGGGGGCCTCTGCGACATAGGATACCTGGCTTGGCTCCAGCGGCTCGGGGTGTGTGGCATATGGGGGCGCGCTGGTCAGACAGCGTAGAAGCCGGTTCTTGGGTTGGAACATGTTGGAACTGTGCTGAGTTGGGTTGGGAAGAAACACAAGTTGAGACCGCGAAGCTTGAATTCGCGCACTTCTGGGCAGAATGGGCAGATGGGGTTGTTTTGCATCTGTTTCAACCAGCACATTGTTTCCCGTGTTTGGTTGGACTCAAATCCAAAGGGCAAATCTCAGTGAAGTCAAGGACCCAAGGAGCACATGCCCGGAAAACAATCAAGATAAGACTTGGCTCAACAATCCAACAAAAGTAAACAGCAGATTGGCGTAGCGGTTGACAGTGGAGACGGAAAGCACTGTCAGAATGGAGGATTGCACAGCGTTGTGTCTTTAAATTATGCATGTGTTTCAGCAGTGGTAACTGTGGCTGAAACCCTCAACTTACAGCAGCTCCCCCCGCAGTTCCTTGTGCATAGGAAGAGATTCCATCCATGGAGGCAGCCCACTTTGCATGTGTGGCTCAGAGCGAAGCAGTCAAATCCTATTAAGTGGCCGCTGTGTCTTGTGCTTGGACCATGGGAACTCGGCAGGCCTTGCTTGCCATGCTGGGGGAGGATGATGCCAGAGCTCCAGAGGCCAAGGTGGGCCGCAAGCAACCGAAGCGACTTGCAAGGGCCCCTTGCACATCCCTTGCACCCTCAAGCTGCCCACACAGGAGCAGGAGGAGCCGGTGCTGCGACCTGTGGCCGAGTCCACCGGGATCCCTAAGGCTGCCGATCCCGAGTCGGCCCCGGTTCAGGCGCGTCGAAAGCTTGTCGTTGCAATGCCGGAGTCGGGTCTTGGCCAGGAAAAGCCAGCTGCGCGACGACGCCGCGGAGGTTGCCTGAGCGAAGTTGCATCCTTCCCGATCAGTGTCTTGCTTGAACGTTGAACGCAGGCTTTAGTTCTTCATTTGGCGCAGCGCCCGTGCCTGATCATGTTCCACAATCAGACAGCTGTTTTGCTGATGATTGCTGCCTTGGGTCAGAGACTCTAGTCACTCTAGCCTCTTAAGCTCTCAACCGTGAAAGCCATCCGCAACTTCACGTGGCGAGCGGGTTCCCTGCGATCTCAACCACAAATTGGAGATACTTGGAGCATGACTGGTAATGATGCGGTTTTCCCGAGCTCGGCCATCTTCACTCTCAGGCCGGTTGCAGTACAGCCGCAGGGTGAGAATCTGGAGGCACTGACTTGAATGCACCAAACTGTATGCGCTTGGGATGGCATTGACATAGCCGGGAGTGGCTCTTTTTTGTGCTATGCCCACCGGAAGTCTGCAGGCACAGACAAGATCCACAATAACCACAGCAGCAGTCAGCGAGAGCGTGCAGGAGCACGGCCCAGCAGGGCATTTCCAGTGTTATGCGCACGCTAGTTGAAGGGGCCAAGAGTTATGCAGCGATGCAGGACGGCGCAACAACTGACGAAGTTCCGTCCATGGAGGTGCCTATCGAACTAAAAACGGTTTTGAGAATAGCTGGCACTTTCCAGCCTACTCGCTGGGTGCACTGCCTCGCTTCCCACTGAGGCTCTGCTGGCCATGTTGGATGAGGCCTCCAAAGTGGCAGACCCCTTCTTGCCTTCTCTTTTCATGTGTCTCACTATGCTGTTTTCAGAGTTTCTGCGTGCAGGATCGCGAAGGTTGACTCCTCGAGCGGGTCTCCAAGGAAGCCTCCTGAAAGCTCTCGCTCTCCCCAGCTCCCGCTAACCCTCCGTTCCTTCGCATGTTAGTCATTTATAGTCATTTATTTGTTCTCTGTTTCTCTTACCGGCCCTCTCACCATTCCCTCTCTCTCTCGCTCTTCGCTCCCTCTCTCTTCGGTCCCTTTCTCCCTCTCCCCCGCCTATTTGGTTGTCTGTTGACGCAGGCTCGTGCTCCCAGCTGCGGCTGGTTGAGGGAGCAACCCGGAGTTAATGTAGTCAGTCCCACAAGCTACTACGAAGGCCACTTCTCTAAATTGTGGTTCTTTGTGGGCACGCGAATGTAAGTGCCGGCAACCAACACACAAGCACTGAGACCAATTGTCGCATGTGATAGGGGTACAAAGACACACCATGCCAACAAGCGCATGAGTGCTTTAAATGCCAGAGCCTTGATAGCTCTATGTCAACGTTCCTCCCTTGGAGAAACAGGGCCCGCAGCAGCATGTAGGCCATCTGGCAACAGGAAGTTGGGAGTTTGTTACTGCCCAGCCTAACATGCGTGTGCAATGTGTGAAAGACCAAACTTCATGAAGAACGCCCCTTTGCCAGCACGACCATTGCAAGACCTTTGCAAGATGCAAGTTTGCCTACGTGGACGTGCCATGGTTCAATCATCACACCATGGGCTTCACACGGCTACAAATGCAAGAAGAAGTCGGCCAAGAATGGAGCCTGATAGGGCAACTGAGAAGCTTCTTGTTTGAGCTAGTTGCATCTATTCGACAATGCCCTGTGCATGCAAATCTAGACCTTGGTTGCAAGACACAAATCACCAACCAACGAAGACGACCACACCAGCACCCGAAACCCCAGGCAGTCAGTTTGCTTATGGGCCTCTCTTGCCGTTTGAGGGCCCCCAGTACCTTCGACCTAGAGATTGGTCTTATGGCGTGATGTGCTTGTGCCCAAGACCCTGCAAGGGTCGCGGGCTCAGAGGGGGCTGCTATCTGACATAGATGGTGCTACATTGCTCGTGGCCCGAGTGATCCAAGGTGGGTGCCATGGTAGACCGCATAGAAGCAAGAGCCCAAGACCAAACGCCAGACAGGGCTTGCTAGGGCTTGCTTACCGACGTGCCATTTTGCTGGATTCTGTCGCAAGCGAGTGCCAGTTTCTCCCAGTTCCCGCGAGCATAGTGGAGAGTGAGCTTTGCGGCATAGAGACCAGTGGTGCACTCTCAGACCACCGGGAGCCCTGAGGTAGCCACAGCATCGAGTGAGCCCGCTGCCAGTAGCAGTGAGGCCATGCTGTTTGTGGTTTGCTCATGCTAATTTGCACTATCAGTGACTGAGCGAGAGCTTCTGATCAGGTTGCCTCCGGCTACAGGCGAGCTGGGTACATCCTGGACGATGAAGAGGACACTCCCAGACTGACATCTGGATGACGGCGAAGTTAATTACAAGCCCCTAATGAGGGTACTGTGTTCCATGGGTTCATGGGTCAGCCATGTCATTTTTGTGCAGGAGCCAGCTCTCATAGCGGATTTGCAATTGCACGACTGCTTGATTGTAGGTGTGAGCACAGGCGGGCTGTTGTGTCTGAGAGACTTTGTGTTTTTCGTGTCAGAACATTGAGCCGTTGAATGTCTGAGCATGTCCGGGTCGCTGCAATCAGGCTTTACTGCTCTGACGGGCTTTCCCAGAGAAGAGGTGCGGAACATTGCAGCTGCGTGTCGGCTGCTTTGACTTTCGACTTTGAGATTTACGGGGTGCTTCTTCATCAGAGTTGGGCGAGAGCAGAACATGCATGCAACGCGGTCTAGCCGAGCTTCGCTAGCACACAACATGTGACGGCAGCCGCAGCTGGGGGAAGCTCTGATTTTGATTTTCCCCAAACTCACTGCCTCCTGCCCTAAACTCAGGCCAGCAAGGTATTTCCGTTGTGCATAATTACTCGATAGATATATGCATTGCCTATGCATTGCAGAAGCCCCTGCAGATGCAAGGATCTGTTTTGTCATGCTTTCCGACAGGCATTGGGTCAAAACTGTCGCATGATGCTGCAAGGCGTGCCTGAGGCTGGTGGCCTTTCAGTGTGTGTCCAGAGTTGTATTTTTCAGAGCATTCAGGGGGAGCTCAGAAGCTTGAATTCGCCCTACGCTTTCCACGCTGGACAGGTTGCCATCTCGAAGTCTGCAAGAAAAAACCTTCGGGACTTCTGCCGGATGTTGGAGTCCGAGCTCATCCTTCACCTGTGCGGGTTGTAAGTATGAGAGGGGCGCTGCGCCAGGGTCCTGTTGGCATGGATGTTGATCAACTGTCTTGGAGTCTGACAGGTGCAAGATCAGGACGCTTGATAACATCTCCGAGGCGTTGGGATGTCCTGGCAAAGATTGACATGTCGACATGTAAGAGCCATCGAAGCCCTTGCTGTATAGCATTATGGGCCACGGTGGCAATGGCCGCCCTATCCTCCGCTTCTTCCCGGCTCGGTGTATGCAGGTCACATCGCTGCAGCCCAACAGCCGCAGGGATGGGTCTGGAACCAAGCATCTCTTATGCCCTCCGGGCCACCACAGCTGCAGCGACATGTTTTCTTGGATTCTACAAAAGGCTTTTTCCAGCCTCAAACCATCTGAAACCTGTGCATGTAGCAAGGGATGATGAAACTTTCGTAGCCTCGCGACACCCCCACCGCTTCTCTGGTTTCGTGAGTGGCGCATGAGGACTCAGTTCGTCAACTTTTTTCTTGTCGGCCTCGTCCAGGCTGGCATAGTTGCTGTCAGTTTTTTTCGAAGGACTGGTTGGGCTCTTGATGGTCAGGAAGACCCCCAAATTCTGTGACCATGTGGTGCAGCTTCTTCACTTGTTCAGGTCGGCACTGACAAATACCTGCTTGGAGTGCAAAGGTGGCGACCCCAAGATTTCGTAGCTCTCGAAGAGTTCCCCCTGCCAAAAATCAGATGGAAGAACTCTCGGCGCGTGGATAAAGTTAAGCTTCATTGCACACGTCTGTCAGGTTAGTCGGCGAAGGGCTTTTTGTCTCCTTGCATGGCCGGATGATTGAGGAGGCCGGGTCCTTTTCTGTGAGAAACTTCATTTGGCCACATTTGTTGGGTTCGGGGTGGTCGAGGCTCCTACTTCGCTTCAGTAAGAGATGTAAGAAGAGACGGGCAGACAGGGCAAGGCACCAGAGTCACTAGACTTGGCGAGTCGTAGGATGTCGCAGGGCGCTGTTACAAATATTTCCTTGTGTTACCACTAGCAAGAATAGCACGGACCGTTGAGGGTCCATGTTGTGCCTCGGACATTGTGGCCAGGTTACGGAAGCGGCGCGCGATACGTTCAAACGCATTCGCCAGAGGCTTCTTAGCTTGGACTCCAGCGCAGGTGGGACCTGTACAGACCTGTGCATGTGCATGGCATTTTAGCACGTTGAATTGCTGATGTCTGGGTGCAAGGCAAAAATGTGTTCCTTCGTGATGTCACTTTGATGATGCAGATGATGTCGCAGGCCGGTTTTCGCGGGTCGACCACCAGCTCGGCTTCACGTTCTTCTCAGAACGACTACAGGCAACTTTCGGATTTGGCTTGGGGGTTTCAAGGGTCCGAGACACAGCTGAGCACGAGGACCACTGCTTGCTGCTCAACGGCAATCGGACAGCCATGCGACGCGAGCCACAGGACAGACGCAAGAATTTTCCTGCAGAGTATCGAAGCAGGGTAGTGTTTGACAAGCCGGGTGCACTTCGCATGCGCCCTTCTTTGCTCTCATGTTCTAGGTGTCTCTCGGCAACAAGGGGTCTCTGTCTGCGTGAATAGTTCTTGCCAGGAGCTTGCTACGAATTGTTGGACACCTGGCCTTTTCTGATCCATTGCAGCCATTCTGCATCCACTTCGATCCTCGCCCATTCCGTCGCTTGTGGCCCTAGGTCTGGTCTTCGGCAATGCGCCTGTAAAGCTTGGAACTCGGAACTGATGGGATAGTGTGCGCAGTATGCGCCGATGCTTGTTTTCTGCTCACTGCGTGGCTCTTCATCCCTGCCAGGATGACCCCAAGCGGGCTTTACTTTGCCGTGCGCATCGAGGATGCCGTGACGACATTCGAGGGCCTTCCCATAGCCTTGTCCCCAGCTGCTCCGGGTCGGACAACAGTGGATCTAGGATTTTCCTTGAATAGTCTTTAGGGGCCCTAGTCGGCCTCATTCTTTTAAATCAACCCCCAGATGGTGAACTGAAATGGCGACTATGGAAAGCAGGTGTGTAGCCGAAGGCAGGGGTTTTCATCAAGGAGCCAGGAGGGTTGGGTATGTGCAGCACTACCTGACACGAGCTCTGGAGGGTTCGAAAGACGAATTCCGAAATACAAAGCCGGGAGTGGTGCGGGTGAACCCCTGACCAGCAGATTTATGCTGTGCAAGCATTATTCTATCTTCATAGGTGTTATGTACACACAGACAGAGGCAGGCAGGCAGACAGGCAGGGTAGGCCAGGCCAGGCCAGGCCAGGGCAGGGCAGAGCAGGGCAGCGCAGGGCACAGCCCCCTCGACCCCCCCATCACCCCTCCCCGCCACCCCCCACACCCCCGACCCATCATGCGCCCAACCCCTACCCCGCCCCCACCCCGCACACCCCTTCGTTTCACTTTCTCGGTTTTAACAGGGGAAAGCCTGACACTAGCTTCCAGGTATAAATTTCCATCGTTTGCTCTCTTAGATTCCAGCCATCAAACTTATTGCTGCAACGGCTGCAACGGTTGCTGTTGACTGTTTCAGACGAGCTCCTTGGAACCAGATGGGCTTCACTCGCCGCCGGCCGGTGGACCATCCGAGTCTCTACCCGACGGTCTGCAGGCCGGCTTTTTTGCAAGATTCAGAAACATCGCTGGGAGACATGCCCCGTAGTCTAATTCCTCCCCGGCCCGTGTTCTGCTTCAAAATGTGAGCTACTTGTCGTGCATCGGCTCAATGTTCTTGTGAAGGCTTGCCTCCAGAGCAGTTGGTAGTGTCAGCACAGCAGACTCCAGCCTTTCAAGCCCGACAGTTCAGTGGTGGCAGTGCTTTGCAATTGAATTAGGGCTCGAGGGCCTTGAGGATGATGTCGAGGATGAAGCAGATGTGCCCTTGCTTCTGGTCATCTGCTCTCTGGGGTCAATATCTCCAGCTTGGAGGCCGGGAGGCCCTTAACGAAGCGCGACAGCTGCCACAGTTCCAGTGTCTTCATCCAAGAATGGAAGGGCACCCGTGAACGGCGATCTGTGAGTTGACATGGGGGCGATCCAAGCTGTGCCTGCCTAAGCTGCGCGTTCACCATCGATGGTTGTTCGGTGTAACGCTTCCGCACCAGGAAGAGGATGTAGATGAGCTTTGGAAAAAGGAGACTTGGGAAGGGGAGGAGGCTTGGGAAGGGGAGGAGGCGCGGGAAGGAAAGGAGGCGTGGGACGGAAAGGAGTCGTGGGAAGGGGAGGAGGCTTGGGAAGGGGTGGAGGCTTGGGAAGGGGAGGAGGCTTGGGAAGGAGAAGAATGGGAAGGGGAAACTACGGAAGCTTGCGCAGGGCTGGCGGAGCAAGACGAAGAAGGAGCTGCTACAACGACAGAGCAGAGGGGTCAGGACGAAGAATGCTTTTGGGAAGACTCGGAAGAAGAGAAGTTGGAAGGAAAGGATGAGAACGTGGAAGAGGTGGAGGACGGCGCTGCCTCTGCAAGCACTTCTGTTGCGGACTAGGAAGTAGCAATTGCTGACCGGAAGGATGAGGACGAGGACTCTGTGGAGCCCTTCTGGATAGACACAGCAGCAGAAGTCAGAAGATTTTTCTGTGCTGTCATCGGAGTTGTTGACTAGCTCACGCTTAGCCCTTGAGTAGCCAAGGATGAAGTCAGCGACTGCCGTTCCGTGTGTGACGTGCTGCTACGAGCACCACGGCGTGATGGATGTGATTTCTGTGGTGTAGCATGCGCTTGTCGTTCAAGCTCGAGTTGTGCGAGGGCTGCCGGGGTGCTTGTAAATCTTGCCCGCTCTGTAGCTGGTGGAAGCGTTTTCGGATGCATGGGCGTGAAACTTTCCCCAGCTGACCCGAAGTTTCTGAAGTTCTTAGACCAGGCGGATGCCATCGCGGTGGATGTGGAGGCCTCTCCAACAACTACTTCAGCAGGTCGTGTGGCTCTTTTTTGGCATGCGCGATGAATCTGTCGGTATGCCATTTTCATGAAGACAAGGGCATTGACTTGGGCCGCGGTGGTGAGATCTGCATCATCCAGGTGGGCGGTTGTGAGACGTTTCGCGGGCATCGAAGAACTGCTCATGTCATCTAGATATGTATCTAGGTTCCAGATTGTCTTGGAAAAGTTTTGGTGCAGCACAGCCCTGACTCAAACACTCGCTGCTGCTAGCGCTGACGTGCAGACTTGAGCGCTGTAGCACCACAGGTGTGTTCACGAGAGCGGGCGGTCTACCTCTTTGATGTTTATACGTTGGGCGAGGCTGCTTTTGCCAGCGGCTTGAAGGACTGCACGTCTTCACGATACTTACGAAGGTTTCCCGGAGCACGAATGATCTTGTAATATCTTGTTGATAGGAGCTGTTGGAGAGTGCCAACGTCATCAAGTTGCTCTACGACTGCCGCAGTGATGCAGACGCCCTGCACCACTTGCACGGAGTTCGGCTCGCAAATGTGCTGTTTGTCTGAAGCCTTTCTTGTTCAATCTTTTCATTTCTGTTTGGAGCATGATTCTCCTGGTCAGAGAGGAGCCCATAAGTCAATTATGAAGCCCGAAAAAGGTCGTTCCCGCGACACTAAGGTTGGACTTGCAGGTACTCTTCACACATCAGTCGGGCCAGCGGTCGGGTCAGCTTCCTGGCATGGCCAAAGCGCTGCATGGCTCGAGATAAAGGTATGGTAAGGTGCAGACACACAGAAGTCACAGAAGGACTTCCTCCAAGTTTCCTTTTCCGAGCCCATGCCGCTTGCAGGGGATCACGGAATGAGAGTGTTGTGTCGGTGCCTTGTGAGGCTTGGGCAGGTCTTGTCTTACCAGGAGCACCAGGCCCGCCGTTGTCAGGGATTTCTCCAGTACCAAGTGCCCCGCGAACTTCAATGAATTGTGGCACTATGGCACACATGACGTGGTGCTTCAGGGTACTACTGAATTGTTTGCAACAATGGACTCGCATATGAGCTGCAGTACTCATATGTTGCTGACAGGAGGCCAAAGGCATCAAAGTTGCCGGGACACAAATGTTCGTGCCAGAGAAGGGTGGCAAGATGCAGGCGCACCAGGGGATGAGGTTGAGAATGTAGCTCATTATGACTCAGTCGAAGAAAGAAAGCTCTCATGCAGGCGGTGCAGATGCTGCTTTTCTTGGGCAAGTCAAGTCCGTCTTTCGGTAGGGGCTCCTTTAGAGTGCGCCAGGTACTTTTTGCAAGATGGATGTCTTTGTCTGTCTCGTCGCCGTCGGGCTACATCCTGACAGGTTTGGAAGCTTCGACCACTGCCTCCGCTGTTGGTTCGGTACTGCTCTCAGGACGATCCTTGTTCACTCAGAAGACTCATAAGATGTAATCGCTTGAGAAAGCGGGCAGGACGTGCAACACCTCTTCGCCATGTGGATGGCTTGGGATTCCTTGCCGGATGCAGAGCTGCGGGAGCTCTCAGATGAGCGGCTTCGACGGCGGATCGCAACCCGGCTCGAAGAATGCAGAAGACATCAGAGCAGAAGATCTCAACTCATGTCAAGACGAAAGGTCGGAGCGTACAGCCAGGACAGTTCTGTCATCCTGTTACATGTAAGCCCTCCACTGAGGAAGGAGCCCATCCACCAGAGAGCCACTCTGCTACTGTGGGGACGGGAGTGGGCAAACGCGTAGAATGCCTTTGGTCTGTTGGGATTGTGCAACAGCAAGAACACAGAAGCCTGGAAGCTGATGCAAGTTTCATTGGATTGCGCACTTGATCAAAGCTGGCCGGGCATTCGATGAACCTCTGCTTCGAACAACACTTCAGCTCGATCTTGAGAGACTCATGATTTAGTCATTGAGCAGCAGTCAATTGGCAGCATGGATTCTCTCGACAGCGCTGAAACTCGTGGCTGGAGGTCCCTGGCTAGTGGACTTCGATTTGCCCCCACCAGCGAAGCAGCGAAGGGAAGCTGGGCTGCTTTGGCTTTCGGCTCTTGGGTATCTCGATATCTCTATTCGAGACTTGTGTGCCAATTTGTGCCTTCTCAACACTCTGGCCAACTTGTCAATGGGCGCGGGTTCAATAGATTGGGATTGCGCCGAGGCGAGCTGATGCCTCCCAGCAAACCTGCGGGATGTCGTCCTTGTGCAACTGAAAAAAGAAGTGCTGCCAGCAGAGGTGGAGGCGAAAGGAGCTCCAGAACTCTAGAGTCAGCACGGCGCCTTGCAGTCGAAGCAACATGAAACCATCCATTGTGCCTTCCAGGTGTTTGGGCGCCAGCGTATTGGTGGGTGCCTGTGGCGAGGCTCGAAGACTTGAAGCACCTTGCTCTTTTTTCACACTTCTCATTCGCTTGAGCGCCGCACGCGAGAAGCCCTTGGCCTTAGCCAGCCCTTAGCCTCAGCAGATTGTGTGTTGCGAAGGAGCATGTTTATGTTGTGTGGATGTCCCTGAGCGCAGGCCTTTGCTCGCGACCAGACAGAACATTTTCGGATCGGCTTCAGGCAGCCGCCGCAGACGGAGGCCAATGTTGTCTGCGTCCGCGAAGTTTCAAGCGTTGCTTTCAAGCATCGCTTTGGGACATCTTTGGGGCATGTTGCCTTCCACGTGGTAGAGAATGTAGAGAGGAGACTGTAAGATTCTGGCTCAGCAGCGAGCGTATCGCCTCGCCGGCTGCGCCTAGCATGGGACCACATGTGAGCTGCTACTGACCATAAGCCCGAAGACGAGCAACTGAGAGTGAGAGGTCACACAGGCCCATGCAAAGGTTGAAGCAACTTGGTTCTCTCGTGCATCACGTGCTGACAAGGTTGTAGGGAAGCTTGCTTGCCGCAGATGGCGTGGTGATGATGCGCCAGTGGCACTTCGCAGCTGGAATACACCTTGTCTGGGCGTATGATTGGCCAAAGACAGGCGACGCATTCGCTGCAGGCGGCCTCGAGAATGTCAAGGCACCAATGTTTCAGCCTGATGCGATCAATGCGATGACTCCAGAGCCCACGTCCCTGCCAACATTGCCAGCACAGCAGCCATCCATGAACACGGTCGATCCTATCATGTGTCAGGACTTTGTGCGGCTGCGCAGTCAAGTCACCAAGTCACCGCTAAGGACGTACGTGCAGCACTTCGGTTCTTGGTTGCGCACGAGCCCCTACCAGACCGCCATTGCCCTGGCAGCACTGGCATGTGGTTGCGTCTGTGCCTGGGATGGGCCACGGCTTTGGGAGAATCTGGTAATCACCGGCTTTTCTCTGGCGGCGGCCTGGCTTGCACATTTCGAGTCGTTGCGAAATGATTTTGCACCCAACGTGCCATCGGAGCTGGCGCTGCTGCTAGCAGCAGGTGGAATTGCCGGCTTGGCTGCGCATAGTGGCTTCGAGGGAACTCAGGTGGTCATCGGTGCTGCAGGAGGTTTTGCAGCGGCAGCCTACTGCGCAGTGGGTGCTGGGGCTCAAGCCGTGGACAACAGTTTGCCTGGCATTTCTTTGGCCTGGTGTTGTGCAGGATCGGTTTTCGGTGCCTGGATCCTGGTGACTTGGAGGAGGCCCTTGCTGGCCTGCTTGGCACCGCTCTTCGGTAGCTTTCTGGTAGTATCCGGGCTGGGGACCCTCCTCGCTGGTTTCGCGGATGTCGATTTCCTCCCCACGCAGGACGCTCCCTGGTCGGTCGAAGCCTCGATCTTGCTTGGGCCTCTGGGCTTACAAGCCTTAACGTGGCACTGCCTCTGTGCCCTTGTGGCAGCATCAGCTCAAAGCTGCGGACGCAGGGTCCTGGCCATCATGGCTCTGACCGCTTATGTTGTGCTGGTGGCCTTGGGAGCCCTGATTGTGGGCATCCAGTGCCATGAAGGAACTCGGTCAGATGGTGCTGAATGCCCAGCACATCTGGCGGTGGTTGGACGTTGGCAATGGCAACTGTCTGGCTGCACGGTGTGGGCTTTGCTAGCAGCATACACAGGCTGGAGACAGTTGGGCGCGCTTGATGAGTACCTCTCCCGCAAGCTCAGCAGGAGGATGACGCGTTCCCGAAGCAGCTATGCTGCACTTGACGAGACGCCTAGGCATGAAGGTGGCCTGCAGACGTTTGTCACTCCTGGCGATATGTTCAGTGGAGGACCGCAAAGGCTATCAGGATTTGTGCACTCGCTTCCACATCGTCGCCTTGGTACTGTCTGAATCTGTCTGACGTACCTCGTTTCGTGACGACTTGCACAGGTCAAGACCGCAGCGTTCCGCAATGTGGACTGAATTCGTTGAAGCGAGCATTGCAAAGCCGCGTCTCGCAGAAATAAGTGCTGCAAGGCTTGTTGTGCATGCTGCCCAACTGAAAACAGATGAACACACTGGGAAGTTCGGTGAAGACGGGTTTCCTTCTAGTAAGTCGGCGACAAGAACTCGCAAGGTGGAGGGTCCCAGGTTCGTTTCGGTTTCTTCTTTTCTGGGGAAGGGGGAACAACAACAACGCCGCCACCGCCACCGCCGCCGCCGCCACCGCCACCGCCACCGCCACCACCACCACCACCACCACCACCACCACCACCACCACCACCACCACCACCACCACCACCACCACCACCACCACCACCACCACCACCAGCACCAGCACCAGCACCAGCACCAGCACCCGCACCGGCACCAGCACCAGCACCAGCACCGGCACCGGCACCGGCACCAGCACCAGCACCAGCAACAGCAACAGCAACAGCAACCATAACAGCAACCACAACAGCAACCGCAACAGCAACAGCAACAGCAACAGCAACGCCAACGCCAACGCCAACACCAACAACAATGTTCTCGCCCCATATGATTCGGACTCTCGTTTTTCCCCAATGACGCGCCGGAGTTCGCTCCAAGGACATTCGTGGGGGTGCCCAAAGGAGCTCCCAGGGCCCCGTCAAGGTCAAGGGTTTGTAAAGGGTCCCCAGCTTGTCCCGAGTCTATTCGCCATTTGCCACTTCCATCCCCCCCCCCCCCACCCCCTGGAACCAGATTTTAAGCTTTTTCTCCCCTAGAGTCCTAGAGCCATTCAACATGCCGCCCCAGGGTTGGCGGACTTTTGGGTGAACTGGCTGTAATGGTCTGCTGCTTGACTCTTTGTTTGAAGGTCGCTTCCTGGTCCACACAAGCCGACGTGCCTCCGCACAAGCGTAGGCACCGGGAGCTACCTCAGAAAGCCATACATGCATGCTTGCATGTAAGGCTTCCCAGGAAGAATCTGCAGATGGCTTGCTGGCAGCTCCTCGTAGGCTTCTGAAGTTTGTTTTCTCACCTGGTCATAGTGCCCAACACATCATGTCATGAGGATGTTTGTCTTTGTCCATGGAAGTGACAAGTCTGCGCACTGTCCCCATTCATCGACCTCCTCCAAGCCCCTCTTCTGGTAACTCTGGAAGTGGCTCGGTGCAGTTCTCTTTGCTGCTGCTTCACCTGCTTCTGTTTTGAACAATGCTGATTAGAACCTAGTCGCAGTATCGGTTGGCCTTCCATCCTTTTGAGCCACACAACAGAAAGGTCTCAGAAATCCTCTGCCCCTGCAGAAGACGTAAGCCCTGTTTTTCGCTCCCCCGTGTCAGCCCAACTGGCCCAACTTCATCTGGAACCGAAGCCGAAAATGTCAACGCTTAAGCGCAAGCAGGGCGCCGGTGAACGTCAACCCGGGCGATGTCTTCGGGTCCTAGACTCGATCCTTCACATTTCTTGGGCGTTCGGTTTTCTTCGGGCTGCTTCAGTGTCTGAGCAGCCTGAGCATGTAACCTGAGACCAGATGAGGACATGGTTTTTGCGGGCGTTGCGTCTCAACCTGTGCTGTAGTTTGAAGATTTTTGGACAGAACGAAGAGTCTGTGGTCGGCTGAAAGCGCACAAAGAACCGCGAAGCACACCTTCAGTGCACAAAGCGCGGCCCCAAGAACTGAGCACGGGCACGACTCCAGGTGCCTGTACACCATGGAGGGGCGACTGCAGCTTTGGAGGCAAAGAGCTGCGTCTTGCTTCTTTATCTTTCATTCGTTGTATGTTTTTTGCGTTCTGTTTTGCATCTGTGGGGTTGTGCACAGTTCGTTGTTGCCGAAGGTCGCACCGGATGGACTTGGTTGCATAGATTCGAGTACGCTAGTCACTTCTCCTGTCAGGAACGGCTCCCAGGTCTTGGATTTCGACGTGGGGCGTCCCATCCAGCAGGCACGAACCTGTGAGCATGGAGCCGGGTCAAGGCAAACAGGGAGGTCCACATCCGAGAGTTGTCATCATAGTGCGCCAACCAGGGCGCTGACTACTACGCAGTGGTGGACGTTTGTTTGGCCGCGTGCGCCAGAAGTGAACTGGATGTGAATGAAATGACGGTGGCTTCTCCCCGCTTTTGCCAGGAGGAGTTGTGCTTTTTCGGGCGCTGCTATAGTTTTTTGTTAGTGGCGTGTTGGTTGGTGAGCAACCAGGTACTCCGTCAGCCTTCTGCCGCATTCGAGCCCAAGCCAGTACTCGGAGTCCTCGGTGCCGCTCCCTTCTGTTTTCCCGTTTAGGGATCAAGGTCTGGAGTGTGCGCTTGGATGTAGAGAAGAGAGCTTCCTATTGCATTGTGGCCGCTCTGATGACTTGAGAGCCTGTGATGTTCCACAGCTCGTTTCTTCAAAACTTCCAAGACTTCCAGTGCCAACAGACGACTCAGCAGCAGGCATCAGTCAGAGTCACAGCTTCCGAAAGTGTAAGAAGGTCACTTTTGGCGTTGAGGCCACTGGTCTAGTGCTGAAGGAGTAACAATAGTAAGAAGGCAAGCTGAGGAGCAACGATCCTACAATTAAACTCGATTCGCGGGCCATGAGGGCCATGAGGCCCATGAGGTCTCTGAGGATCCCAGGCGTGGCCTTCCGTATGGCGGGTATGGCCCTGCCGGCTCCTGCACTGCAGAGGCTGCACTTACCAGCCGGCCCTGCCCTGAGGCTTTTTCCCTGAGCAGCCGCCACAGCACAAGCAGGTGTCACTTTCTGCGATGTTTCCATGCCTGCAGGTCGCCCGGGCGGCTGCCGCAGCACCAGCTCGCAAAGGTCCGAGGAAGCGCAGGCCACGACCTCAGGCTGTGAACAGAGCTTGCAGTTTCGGAGCCCTTTGTTGTTTTATTTGCCGCCGAGGCAGCAGCAGGTGCAGCACTCAGCTGAAGTGCTTTCCAATCCAGACTTCCTTGTCGCAGCCCTGTCCACATGTAGTACTGTGGACTGTACTTCGGTATCCATGTCAGTGAGGACCTAGAGGGTCAAATTTCGAGGATAAACGAGAACAGGTACGTATCAACAGAGACCATTCCATGTGACACGCTGCAACTCGAGCATTTCCGCTCCTGCATTCGTAGTAATGTAGTAGCAGCAGATTTTCCAGGAATGCCCGTGAGCAAGACTGCGCCGCAGAGGGATCCCGTGACCACCCTCGAGGAGGCGCCAGGTCCTCAAGGCTTCTGTGAGGCGGAGCCGATAAGAATCGGGCTTGTTTCAGAGGGTTTCCACGGCTTGTCTCGAAGTTTTACGTCATGTAGACCCAATACTCAGAGGGTTTCATATGGGAGTCTCCGGGTCTTGGGTTGACGACAGAGTTCAGGTTGTATCTGGCCAAGCTCGCGGGCGCCTGGACGGAAGCTGAGGTGCCACTCGCTCCTCGCTCTCCCCTCTTCCTCTCTTTAGGGTTTAGGGTCTAGGGCTTAGGGTTTAGGTGCAGGGCTTAGGGCTTAGGGTTTTTGGGTCTAGGGCCTCGTCACGCGAACCTGTAGGCTTCACGGCTCATGGCTATGGATGACCATTGCCCATTGCAACCAAGCAGTTTCGACGCAAGTATTCAGCTTGGATAGAGTGCGGGAACCGCTGAACCAAGTGCGTGAGAGCTACCAATTTGTTCTGTTTTATGGCTTGGTCTCATAACATTGGCTGTGACTTTGATTTTTCGTGTGAGAAGAGAGCTCGAGTCTGTTCTTTGTGATGCAACCCATTTCTCACTCTGCCCGCTTCCTGCCGTACTTCATTTTTTTCTGGCAATGCGGACTTGCTGATTTGCAACTTTTCGTGTAGCGGTCTGCAGAATCAGGCACTGTGGGATATAAAACTATATGGCACAGTCTCGTATCCCCTCCCTTTCGTCCGTGCTCACTCCCTCACTCACTCGCTCGCTCACTCACTCACTCTGGCTGCCTGCCTCCCCTCCCTCCCTCCCTCCCCTCCCCTCCCGCCTTCCCTTCCTGTGCAGGTGCAGCACCAAATCGCAGCGACCCCAGGACCCCTTTGGCATGTTTATTTTCATGGGATGGCTCTGTCGCCTCTTGCCCTCTGAGGTTCGAGGGCCGGAATTTTCGAGGGACAGCTCGCCTTTCATGCTGGAGAACTTCTTTGAGGTTGGAATTCGACATGCAAGATTAGGATGCGCCATCCATGCGTAGAGGCCAAAGCCGTGCAGGTGATAACTTTGCAGAATCCAAAGAACTGTCGCACTTAGTGCATGTGCACGATATTGTTCTTAGTTCTTTTTCCGACTACGACTTGCAGCTGATGGTAGATGTCGTAGATGTCTTGATGCACATCGTGAGCTTTCTTTTTTGGGGGTCTTGGTGTCGAGGAGTACTTCGATTCTGTGCACAAGTTACGTATCTGCAAATACTCTGCGCGAGCTCTGCAGCCATGAGTTTCTCAAGCTATGGATTTTTACTTGGGCACATTTGCATGGTACATATATCCTGAAGATTTTTGCTATATCTAAAGGCCAAGGCTGTGAGACTGGTGTGCATCGCCATGTCTCGGACTCGTCACTGGTTCTGGCTGTCGCTGGTGCTCTATGTTGCCCTGCGAGCGAGCCAGGTGGCCTGTCGCGACAGCTGGTCGCGTACTGATTGCTTGCAGGATGTTGAATGAGTGGTGTCGTAGACCCACAATGTGTGTGCCAGGTGCTGTTCGTGGGCCCAATGCCTGCCGCGCCAACACGCACGTCCATGGCTGCAACGAAAAAGAAGGGTGCGGTGAAGAAAGGAGGACTGCAACAAACACATTCAAGAGCAGAACGAGCAGCTCCTTGAAGTAGACAGTTTGTACTGTTCATGTTTTTACCAATGGCGCAGATTCGGTCACCTTGTCCTTGTGTTTGTTGCTAGCTTGTGACAGTCTCCCTTTTGTCTGTCATCCTTTCAAAGCTGCCTGACAGAGGTCTTAACTTTTCCGCAACAATGCGAAGAGCAAAGGGACTGGAATTAGGGTGCTTTCATTGCCTGTCGATTTCCTTCGATTTCCTTGTACCTCGCGCTGTCTGTGCCTGCAGGAAAGTATCGAGGTGTGGTGAATCCGAGGCTGCGCAACTTCATCCAATCGAGCGAGTACCGAGAGCTGCTTACACTGCTCAAAAACGTGAATGACGAGGGCGTCCTCGATGACTTCTTAGCCAAGGCAGAGACGTATTGGCGACTTGGCTTTTGCCTGTCAAGCCTTGTGCTTTGTGCTGGTGCTTTACGACGACTAGTAACGACACTTGCTCTTCAGGTTGTTATGGTTGTTGTGTGTGGACATGCGAGAGGATGGACATCAACATCTTCCAGCTGGCTATGGAGGAGCAGTCAGGCGGCGGGCGGGGTGTTGTGGCGACAGTAAAACGGGATTGGCCCAAGATCTGGCCACCTCAACTGGAGGGCAATCGCATGTATGCATTCGACTGCTTCGCCAAATTCTGGGGCAGAGCCTCACCAGCAGATTCGATGAGCCAGCATGGTTGCGTCGTGTTCTTCGATGTCTGGATAGTCGGTGGGTCAGTCCTCGGGCGTAGCGCTTTGAAACCTTGTGCTCTGAGGACTGGAGCGCTCGAAGCTTGTGGATGATGTCATGTCCGAGGTCCTCCCGGATCTGGGCAAAGACTACAGCGAGAAGCTGGAAAGCAAGGACCAGCAGAAGCTGATGCAAATGTCGGATGACGAGCGCCGTGACGAAATCATGAGCCCCTGTGCTGGACACTGGAATGTTAGTTAGGGTTAGGGCTAGGGTTTGGGTTTAAGGCTTAATGTTTGAGATTTTTTGGGTTCGGGGTTTGAGGGTTTAGGTTTTCACAAAATTAGGTCGCCTGGGAACTTCGCCCATCGTGGCCCAGTATGCTGCTCTGAGCAAAGAAGATCCCGAAGTCAAGGCGATTGGATCCAAGATGGCACCCTTTGTGGCAAAGTTCGTGTCAATCCTGGAGAGGAAGGTGTCTACGCAGACGGAATCGCTTGGTCAGACTGTTGATGTTGTTGTCGTCGGCGTAATCGCAGTCGTTGTCCTTATTGGACTGAGCTTCGCCGGGATTATCAAGATCCCTGATCCGACTTGGTGAGTGGACTTGTTCGCAGTTTTCCGGTTCATATCAGCTCCCGTCTCACCGTCAAGATTTTCAGGAAGCCTATGGAGTTCATCCTCCAGGGTGCAAGAATGAAATTGAGCCGCATCTTGCAAGCTTGTTATCTGCCTGGTCGCAGGGAGTTTCGCTGCAGTGCACCAGAGCCTTTCAATAGGGGCACCTTGCAGTCGCGCATCGGTGGAGCACGTGAGTAGAGTGCCCCGAATAGTGCTACGATATCCGAGGACTCCTTAAAGGACTCCTTTGAACCCGATAAACTTGGGGTAGGCTTAGGGGGCTTCGCATGTAGAGTCGTGTAGAGTTGCAGCAGGTCAGCGACGATCTGGATGATGGCGAGGGCCAGGCCTGGGTGGCAAATGTCACTCCAGTGAAAGCATGTGAAAACATGGGGCAAACCGACGAAACGCATGCCAATCTCTTGTGCAACTTGCCCGAAAGCAGCCTGAGATAAACTTCCGCACGGGGCGTTAACTGTCGTGCGTTCTTTCACGATTCAGCGTTTTGCCGCAGCGGGAGCACGATTTTGAACGTGGTTTTAGCAAAAGAAGCAAGTTTCAGAGGTCGCTTTGTGGAACGCATGGCAGGCGCGGTATTTTCGGCGATTCGGCGCGCCTCTTTTTCGTGTCTAGTTTTGTTTGTGGTTCGCAGGCCGAAAACACTGCGTATGCCGATATTTTCGTGGTTTCACGTTTGGTTTTTCAGTTTACCTCAAAGTTTCTGTTCTTGGGTGTTATTTTTCCTTGTATGGGCCACTTCGTTGCAAAACCCGGCTGCCCATAAAGCATTGCCTTAAAAAGTGGGCTAATGAGAATTGGGCTTGTTGCAGGCTTCAGAGACTTTGGTCGGTCTGAGTCTAGGATGTCTGCTTGTCTTCTTCTGAGCTGTCGGTTTTTCAGTACAGGTACGCAGGGCAACTGTTCAGGAGTCAGGGGTACTTCTTCAGCACAAAGGCTGTTTCGGGTTAAGGTGCTTCTATTGCGCTGGTCTGCCTTCTGGCTGGTTTGATGGCTGACGGTTTTAGTAGGGTTCATGTACGAGCTCGAGGAAGGAAAGCTGTGTGAATGCACCTCAAGCGTAGACTTCAAGTCTTTGACATGTGCATGCGTCCAAGTTGCACGTGCAGCTGTCCATATCGTGCTTGCACACTTGCTCAAAACCACAGACAACAAGAACCGACTCTATTATGACCCCCCCCCCCCCCCCCCCCCCCCCCGAGCGGTTCGGGAAGGGGCCCAAAACCAACAGGAACTAGGCTGCCCGAAGTGTTCGAGTGGCTTGGGTACCCAAGTTCGGGAAGGGGCCCAAGCGTCTAGGGTCGGGTGGGTTGGGCAGGTTGGAAGTTCAGATTGCAACAACAAATGCGCAGCCAACCCCCTCCCACCCACCCACCCCCCACCCCTCCACCCCGGACCCTCAGCCAACCCCCCCCCCCCCCCACCAAACCATCAACCAACTGTTGCAAAACCTGTGCAAAACGCACACCAGTAATTGACCCGTCGGCAAAAACTTGCGTAGCAGCTTCTCAGCTTCCTTTTGAGTATGAGTCAGAAGCGAACAGCACCACCCAATGGCATGTCTGCACAAATGGTTTGCAGACGTGGGACGACACAAAGCCCTCGGCAGATGAGGAAATGCCTCTGACCGAGCGAGTCTGGGCTAGTGTGCGCAGCGTTTTGGGTTCACTTGTTACGCGGTGCTCCGTAATAACTTGAGGTCAAATTCTGCGAGCCCGACAATCCATGGGACCATCGAGAAGTGACCCGCTGAAGTCTTTTTGGAGCCCTCCTAGTGACCATTTTTCCAAGAGGCCCGAAAGGTTGGCGCGTTGGAGCGCCTTGTGAGGGCCGTCTTTTGGAGGCCTCGCTTCTCTGATGTGGGGGGTGTAGGAACATAGGGGACCGAGAAATAGACCCCAACATCCTAGGATTTCCTTATAATGCGGACCGCAATGAGGTACTCGAATTTGGGAAACGACCATGTGCCTTCGTAGTGCCTTCGTGCTCGGAGGTACTTCAGGCCCGGCCTTCCCCCCAAGTTCTGGCACCATGGCAAGGAGACGGGGGGTTCACGGGTTTCACTGGGTTCACTGTGCAGAAAAAATTTCTCCCCCCTTGTCGTACGTCGCCTCTTAAGAGCCTTTCTTCGGGTCATGGAGGCTCTAGGAGGTGCCTAATAAGAGGCCCTAGAGCTTTGCGTCGAGGAGTGGCTTTCGCACGCCGAAGGCCTTGGGCCTACTTACTGAAAAGACCTGAAATCCCTGCTGAGGCCTTGCATTGAATTGGTTATTGTAGGTGCAGCATGGATCAACATGCGGATGTCCTAACAACAGACGCTTCGGGGGGGGGGGGGGGGTGGGCAGTTTTCACGCCATGAGAAGGTAGTGGCACCCGCAAGCGTGCTTCTGCTCACGTGGCCTAAGCCTCGGCTTTTGTAGGTGCAGCGTTCTATCTTTGTTGGCTTGCAAACGTGGGCCGCGTGCCTCCAGTCTCCAAGGTGCTCGTTCGCGGTACGGGCATCTTTCGTGTCAACGGAGAGCAGGAGAGAGTTGCTTGGTAGAACGACAGATAGTCAGAGGTCGTTTGGGAGAACTTGTCTGAACTTCATTCTAGCATCGGGCTGTGGGAAGGACATGTACTCACGATGGCCTCAGATTTACAACCGCCGGCCTGCTCAGACGGGCTTAGCCTATGTGTCCACCCTCGCGAATTAGAGTCTAGCTGCTTTCCAGCTTCTTGCACTGTCTCTTCAGGCTCGCTCAGCATACTGTATACTGTCATGTCGGTTTCATCAAGGCTCTTCAAGAGTCTAGGCATCTTGCGGCACAAAAGCAAGTCCAAGATTGGGACCCCGTCATGAGTTTATCACAGACGGTCTACGCGGTATCTGCCCGGTCTACGTGCTTCACCTCGTTGGCTCACCTGAGGCGTGGATGTCTGCCAGCCTTTCAAGCTGACCGGTGCCTCAGCGCAGCCTGAGTGTGTCGAATGAAGCTGGTGGTTCCCTTTGTGGGGATGGGTCTTCGTTGGTGTTGCAGGCACGGCGGGGCAGTACGATGTCTTTGTGGAGACCCGCGGAGGTGGCCTTAGTGGACAGGCCGCAACTTTCTTGCAAGTCTCTTCCACGAAGCGGTCATTCACTTGCCGACCATCAGGTGCAGGCAACTAATGATCTGCACCTTCGTCCTGCCAGGCTGGGGCAACACGCCTCGCAATCTCCCGGGCTCTTTTTCAGGCGGCAACCTTGGGCTGTGGAGGGCGCGTGAGGGCGAGGGTGCGAGGGCTCCAGTCCCTGCAGTAATGCTAGATGTGCTAGACGGTGAACTTCGGGGATCAGCTCTTGATGCACTTCCACTCCAGCCAGTTTACGGTTGTACTTTACGCGATAGGATGAGGGTAGGAGCCTCTGAGGAAATATCTTCAGGACTCTAATGGCTCACTTCTCAGAATTGTGCCTTTTTGGGTTTGCTATGCTAAGGCGGCCCCTTAATATCTAGGATACCCAAACGGGGGCTCCTAATTTAGGGAGAACTCACCAACTAGCCATGATGCATTGTTTGACACAGAAGGAGCCTTCTCCTCATGCTGAGGCCAACCCAAGTTGCCATGATGACTTGCAGAAAGGCTTCTGTCTCCTCGAGGCTCTGGGCCTGCTCTGAGTTTAGGGATCAGGGTTTAGGGCAAGTTTAGGGTTTAGGGACTTTGGGACATTGAGTGTTGTGGTTTGGGGTTTTCATCTGTGGTGGCAGCGGGTCTGTTCAGACCATCATGTACGGTCGCTTGAACTGATGCAACATCCAACTCTTGTCCGTGCATTGCCTATGCATGTCCCTATGACTGTGTGCCTTTCTTGGCTCTTGGCAGTGTTTACGTCTGGCAGGTTGCAGAGCCGGTAAAACCGTTTCTGAGCGAATCTTCAGCGCTACTCACACTTAGGCCACGCATCCTGATGCCAGTCAGATGACAGCACAGCTACGTCAGCACGTATCATGATCAGTGTTCCCCATTTACCGCAATCTGGTGCTCGTGGCCCCCTGACATCCGAGACTCTGCGGAACAAGCCCTTGGCCTCACAGTTACCAAGCTGCACGGTGGCCCCATAGCCCCATAGACCGCGTGCCTGCTGTGTAGCTGCCATTGCGGCTTGCAGCTGGTCAGCCTCCCAGAGGATGGGACAACGTGGAGTGAGTTTGCTTGCCCTCTCTTGTCACTCTTGTCTTTGTGCCTTTGTTCGCAGGGCCACTAGGCATCAAGAGTACTGCCATCCTTCTTGGATTCAGTCCCTTCCCATACATCACATGCTGGCATGCCAAAGGAGGAAGACGGCACCGTGTCTCTGTACAATTTAATGCGCCTGGGAAGCACTAGCCGACAGTCAGTTTTGAGAGTAGTCAGGACACAGCTGTACATGTTTGTTTTCCCCCTCTCGGTCCTCGATCCTGCAATGCCGCCTCTTTGCACTCCAGGCGAACATTGTAAACGTTTTTGCGGCATAGCACATTTTCACCAATGCTGCCGCCAAATTGGGCAGAGCACAAAGACCCATCGACGGGCAAAACGTACTATTACAACTCCGTTACGAAGGCCAGGTCATATTGTTGCTTGCACTTGCTGTGTCCGCGCGTATCTCGGTGCATCTCAGTACATTTCTCGAGGAGACGACGTGGACCAGGCCGTCTTCCAGCATTGGAGCACCACCTCCGCCAGCCCCGCCAGGTGGTCCCGGCACTCCTAAGGCGCCATTGGCACCGTCCCTGAGCGGCCCAAAGCCGCTGACACCGCTCGGGGCGCCGGCAGCACCGAAGGTGCCCTCGGGCCCGGCGCCGCCGGCACCAGGTGCTCGGCCGGGGATCTCCTCAGCCTCGCCCCTCGCGCCACCCCCACCTGGAGGCCTCAGCAGACCAACAGTTTCGATCGCGTCCCCAAGCCCTGCAGCACCCTTGGCCCCCAAAGCGCCCTTGGCACCAGCTGCTCCTGGAGCTCCCCTGGCACCTAAGCCGGCTGTTCCGCCAGTGCCGGGTGCTCCAAAAGCACCAGCAGCACCCGGCGCTCCCTTTGCTCCGGCACTCCCGACTGAGTGGACAGAGCACAAGGACCCGGTGACCGGCAAGACATATTACTACAACAAGATCACCAAGGAGACCACCTGGGAAAAGCCAGCACCCAAGCCTGGAGTGCCATCAGCACCGGGCGCTCCGAAGGCCCCTTTAGCCCCCGGCGCGCCGTTAGCTCCGAAAGACGACTGGACAGAGCACAAGGACCCAGTGACAGGCAAGACTTACTACTACAACAAAATCACTAAGGAGACCACTTGGGACAAGCCAGCGCCAAAGCTTGCCGCTACGACTCCATTAGCTCCAAAGGCACCTTTGGCTCCAGGTGCGCCGCCAGCTCCAGATCTGAAAGATGACTGGACAGAGCACAAGGATCCGGTGACAGGCAAGACTTACTACTACAACAAGATCACCAAGGAGACCACCTGGGACAAGCCTGCGCCAAAACTGGCGGCGACCACTCCGCTAGCCCCGGCGGCTCCAAAGGCGCCCGGAGCACCGGGGGCACCACCTGCGCCTGGAGCGAGCGATTGGACAGAACACAAGGATCCATCTACCGGCAAGACGTATTATTACAACAAGCTGACCAAGGAAACCACATGGGACAAGCCTGCAGCGCTCGCAGCCAAGCCTGCCGTCCCTGCCCCGTTGGCACCAGCTGGATTACCTCCAAACTGGGAAGAGCACAAAGATCCTACAACAGGCAAGACCTACTATTACAACAAGGTCACGAAGGAGACATCCTGGGACAAGCCGAAGGGCGCGGCTGCGCCAGCAGCTCCCGCGGCACCGGCGGCTGGCGGCTTGCCACCTGAGTGGGAGGAACACAAGGATCCTGGCAGCGGAAAGACTTTCTACTACAACAAGACAACCAAGGAGACCACGTGGGACAAGCCAGCTCCAAAGCCTGCTCTTGCACCTGCAATCAAGCCAGCCACCACCCTTGGGGGCCTTCCTCCCAACTGGGAGGAGCACAAGGACCCATCCACATTAAAGACGTTCTACTACAACAAGGTGACCAAGGAGACGTCCTGGGAGAAGCCGAAGGGTGCCGCGCCAGCTCTTCCTGATGCCGGCGGCTTACCGCCAAATTGGGAGGAGCACAAGGATCCGTCCTCTGGAAAAGTGTTTTACTACAACAAGGTCACGAAGGAGACATCCTGGGACAAGCCGAAGGGCGCGGCTGCGCCAGCAGCTCCCGCGGCACCGGCGGCTGGCGGCTTGCCACCTGAGTGGGAGGAACACAAGGATCCTGGCAGCGGAAAGACTTTCTACTACAACAAGACAACCAAGGAGACCACGTGGGACAAGCCAGCTCCAAAGCCTGCTCTTGCACCTGCAATCAAGCCAGCCACCACCCTTGGGGGCCTTCCTCCCAACTGGGAGGAGCACAAGGACCCATCCACATTAAAGACGTTCTACTACAACAAGGTGACCAAGGAGACGTCCTGGGAGAAGCCGAAGGGTGCCGCGCCAGCTCTTCCTGATGCCGGCGGCTTACCGCCAAATTGGGAGGAGCACAAGGATCCGTCCTCTGGAAAAGTGTTTTACTACAACAAGGTCACGAAGGAGACATCCTGGGACAAGCCGAAGAGCGCGGCGGCGCCAGCAGCTCCCGGGGCACCTGCGGCTGGCGGCTTACCACCGGAGTGGGAGGAACACAAGGATCCTGGCAGTGGAAAGACGTTCTACTACAACAAAATCACAAAGGAGACCTCGTGGGACAAGCCAGCTCCAAAGCCTGCTCTTGCACCTGCAATCAAGCCAGCCACCACCATTGGGGGCCTTCCTCCCAACTGGGAGGAGCACAAGGATCCATCCACATTGAAGACCTTCTACTACAACAAGGTGACCAAGGAGACGTCCTGGGAGAAGCCGAAGGGTGCCTCAGCTTCGGCAGCCCCAGCAGGCTTGCCGCCAAATTGGGAGGAGCACAAGGATCCGTCCTCTGGAAAAGTGTTTTACTACAACAAGGTCACGAAGGAGACATCCTGGGACAAGCCGAAGGGCGCGGCATCCCCAGCAGCCCCTTCTCCGGGAGGAGGCTTGCCACCCGAGTGGGAAGAGCACAAGGATCCGACCAGTGGCAAGACCTTTTACTACAACAAAGTGACCAAGGAGCGAAAGGGATTTCAACCTAAGCTGCGCATGACAAGCAATCTGCTGACTAGAGTCCGAGTCAGCACCAAACGGCAGTTGTCGATATGCAAATCTTTACCAGCTCTCCCTGCAGGAAACGTCTTGGGACAAGCCAGCAGCTGCCACTGGGCTGGCAGTCAAGGGGGATTGGCCTGAGTAGAGATGGCAATATATTCATCTTGCTTCGTGAAGGCAGCTCTGGCGTGACTTTAATCCTGCTTCTGTAAAGTCGAGGCAGCCGGAGGCTTGCCGCCGCATCTTGTCTGCAACTCTGTCAGGGCTCCGGGCAGCGGTTCATGGCGTGCTGAGCGCGGATGATGCAGCATCATGTGAATATATGTGAATCGTGTGAACGCAAAGCAAGCGTAGACTGGTTTATAAACTTTTAAGCGGTCGAGAGTCGCTCTTTGAGAGTTCCTGAAGGAACTGGGAAGAGCACAGCGACCCATCATCGGGGCCCCTTGGCGACGGAGTTATGTGGCTTGAGGGGCAAAGAGTGGGGTGGGGGTGTTGTTCTCCTCTGACAAGGAAGCCCTTCTACTACAATGCAGTCACAAAGGAGACTCGCCACCTGGCGGCAAGGGATTCAGTGCCGCATGCTGAGGAAGCTAGTTCTTCCAGAATCCGTCTAGTTACCGACAGGAATTCAAGGCAACTGAGCCAGACTGTACATGACGATCTGCGATTCTGGACATGCCCTGGTCAAGGGGGGCCTCACGACTCATGACATCTGCTATATTTCTCTCTGCCTGTAGCGAGTGCAGTGTACAATAGTGTACAGCCACTATCAGCCACTATCCATTGCCGCTGTCATACAGTTCGCAAGACTCTCTGAACACCGAGGTTGGGACAGACCATGATTCCTCTGCCTTCGTAAGGCTGGGTTTGCTCTCATCGATTTGCTTTGGATGTTTCTGAGGATGTTTTTGTGAGGCTTCTGCCTTCATGTGCAGTAGGGCCTTCTACGAAAGATGTCAATGCGAGCGAAGCTGGTGAAGCATGGCCAGACAAGACCATGTCCGTCGGAAAGCCCTCATTTTGCGCGCTTGTCTGCCTTGAGACGCTCGCAAGGCAAGACCGCCAAGGCCGCTTTCGTGTGCGATGGATCAGTTTAGCTTCCTGTAAGTTACATGGTTCCGTTCCAACTTGGTCACCGCAGCTTCACCTATGTGGCTCAGGCTAATGCGCATGCTTGAGGATGAGACGCTGATGCGGGCGTGTGGGACGTTTTGAAAGGAGAGGCTGAACCCCAGTGGCTTCAGCTGTCCCTTCTGATGGCAGTTTCGTAAGTTCCTGAGATCACGTTATATCACGTTGGATTGTGAGGACCTCCTGCGCTGTGCAGACGTGATGCAGCTCATCTGTCCTCAGGTTGAAAAAAAGCTGCATGTGGCTTCCAGATACCCAGCCCTTGCGTTTGTAGGGTCTTCTGCGGTGACTCTTTCCTGGCCAATAGCCATTGCATCCTGGGCCTTCAGTGCAGCGGGCCAACTGAAAGTTTCTTTCACATGGAGCATACATCCATTGAGGCATGTGTCAACACAGTCAACACGAAATCGCTTGCAATCGAATTTTCAGGGAGTGACCTGCAACCACGTGCAGCAGCAGTGTACAGCAATGCAGTCGGCGGCTTCCAAGCCCACAGGCACCTCATGCTCACTCGGTAGGACTTCCATAGATACCCATGCCGAACTTGCAGCATGCCAAAGCCGCAATGGACCCACGCTGCATGGCATAAACGTGCCAGACATGCGTGGGTCAGCTGTGCCGCCATCACAGTGGGAGGAGCACGTGGACCCGGGTAGTGGGAAGAAGTTCTTCTTCAATCCGACCACCAACGAAACAAGCTGGACAAAGCCTGCATCCCGCTCAGCAGGCTACCCGTCAGCCCCAGCGCGGACTTCTGACAGTTGGACGGAACATAGAGACCCCGCAAGCGGAAAGACCTTCTACTTCAACACTGAAACGAAGGAAACCAGCTGGAAGAAGCCCTCTAATGGCGCATCAACCTCCATGTACTCCTCCAAATCGGATCCTGATCCATGGACTGAGCACGTGGACCCTGACTCTGGCCGAACCTTCTACTACAACAGTACCACAAAGGAGTCTGCGTGGTTGAAGCCAGGCCACGACGTGCCTGAGCATCGTAGTGATCGCAGTGCGGCCAAGGGCAAGCCGCTTGCTCACCAAGCTCCCGCCGCCCCACTGCCTCCATCCCCAACACCACCAACACCCCCACCTGCACCACCTGCACCTGAGCATGCGAGGGTGCCCAAGTGGGAGGAGCACACTGATCCCAACTCTGGAAGGCGTTTCTTCTACAACCCCTTCACTCAGGAGAGCAGCTGGACCAAACCCACTTCACCCTCGGGCTCTGCCCGTCCGCCCCCTCCCCCAGCCGCTCCTTTGAAGAGATCGGACGGCTGGACGGAACACCGAGACCCAGCAAGTGGCAAGGTCTTCTACTTCAACGTGGAAACAAAGGAGACAAGCTGGCAGAAGCCGGGAGAGTCGAAGAGCGAGTGGACCGAGCATGTCGATGAATCTGGGCGGACCTTCTACTACAACGCCCAAACCAAGGAGTCTTCCTGGTCCAGGCCAGCGGACCGCAGCACGGGCGGCACGGGGCAGAGCTCCTGGGATCGGCCGAAACCCAGCGGCCCGAGCAGCGAGCTGCAGCTCATGTGCTTCGACTTTGACTGCACCATTGCAGCCATCCATGTCTTCGAGGATTGCAGCTAGAAGGGTTGGCAGCAGGCTGCTAGTTGACTGCAGGAAGTTTGCAAGGGTGTGCTGTTGAACCGAGTACGGGCCCGACCGGTCATGGGTACATGCTGTGACGGCGACCGCAGCTCATGATAGTTCTTCTAGATTCTAGATGTTTCTGCACATCTCACGACGTTTGGAGGAGCTTTGCCGACGTGGGGGTTTCGATGGCCCCTCACAGAAGGCTAAGCTGGAGATCCAGTGCCGGGAAGAGCCTGAATTTCCTGCCAGGACACGGCTTTCGACCGAGGAAGTGCTAGGATACAGCCAACAAAGCCAGAGTGGCAGTCCTGCATGAGATCCTCTAAGGAGTCTAGGGAGAGCTTTTCTTGCAGGATCTATGGCGGACCAGCTAGGCTGCAAGAGTTGAAGAACTTCTTCCAGAGCCTCTTGCAACCTGTCAGCATCGAATGTCAGGTATCGAAGGGGGTCAATCTCTCTTCCTCCCCCAAGCCCTTACCCCCACAACCCCAAAAAACCCAAACCTCTTCAACCCAAGGCGTCTGCAGTATGGCCTCAGCGGGGGAAGTCTCGTAGGTTTTCCAGGAGCCTACTGTGCTTAAGACCCCAATTGTTGGCAGGGAAGTTTACGCTTCGAGAGCTTTGAGATATGAAGTAGAGGGAGTGTTTGCGACAAGCATTGGCAAGCGCATCCTCCTCCACACACAAACAAGGACTGCGCGGGTGAACTGTAGTCGCATCGACCATGCCGAAAACATCCGCAAGCTTTGCCATGGAACGTAGGCTTTGTAGATCTTGTGGTTGTCAGAGCCTTTTCTCTGAGACGGGAGTTTCATTGGTGCATGACCAGGCAGACTCCACAGCGCAAGGTGATTGTGATCACTACCGGCTTTGGGATGGTGGTCGATGCAGCCTTAGCCAAAGGCGGGCTGCGGAAGTTCTTCGCCGAGGTTGGCAGCACCAACAGCGTCGCTGGGACTGTTGGGGCGGAGCCAGCCGAGCTCAGCCGAGGCCGTAGTTGCACAGGTTTGCCCCTGAAGGTCATCGGCAGAGAACACCCTCTATCGGAGGCGAAGCAGGGCAGAAAGGTGCGGGCACGATGCTTTTGGTTTCGGAGCTTCGGTGCTGGTTTAGGTCGCCCAGACCCAGAATACATGACCCTCCCGAGTGATACAGATGACCCTGACCAGGATCGCATCATAGAAGAGCTCCGGCGAAAGGACGGCCTCTCTGCGTGGCAGGCTTTCGCACATCATGGAATTTGGCAGTAACCCAAAGTAAGTGGAGGGATAGGTAACAGCTAGCACTGTCTCTGTACGTCTGTGTGTGTGTGCGTACGGTGCTACTTGATGCTAGCAGGTGCTGTTCGTCGATGATGATCCTGGCAACGCGCCATGCTGAGACCATGTGCTGCTTGATGCGTTCTTACTTTGCTTTTGGACGAGCAGAGAGCGCTCGTCGAGCAGCTTTCAGGTTGTGCCGGCCGCTGAGCAAAGACTTTGCCGCACGGCTTGGGTTCCGCGACTTGGCAGAAGGCTCCAACCATCTCCATCTTAGTTGCATATAAAGTTGGTTGCAGTATGTTGCAGTATGTTGCAATGAGGGTATGCTTGTTGGAATGGGCGACTTCCCAAGGAGACCTGCAGGTGGCATGGACAGCATCATGCTGAGGCCGCCCTCCGAGTCTGATTTTAGACCAGAATGGATTCGTGTAAAGCTGTGCGCAGCTAGACCAAGTGTTTACTTCCAGCACTTCCGCTCTCAGGCTGATCCGGGAAGCAGCAGAGGATGAAAGCGGGAAGCATACGCGCGGCATGTTCCGCGAGGTTCCATCGCGACGTCGAGCCATACACACGACGTGTCCATGCACATCCTTGCTCTTTGAAACGGCTCTGTGCATGAGGACCTCTCCCTCGCGGCCGGAGCGCCTTCGGTTGCAGCCTCGGCAAGGAGTCTGCGCCAGGCGCAAGGGAACATAAGGGAACGACGCGCAAGAATCGATGAACAAATCGGGCCGTCCACCACCGGTGCTCTGCGGAGGCGGTGGAGGCTGTGAAGCGCGCAACCATGCGCCGATGAGGAGAGCTGCAAGATTCTGCAAGACACTCCAAGCTCCAGTATAGCCGGCGCTCCGCGCATGTCTCACGAGGTTTCGAACTCACTTTCGTGGAGTGAGCCAAGGCAACCTATGTGGAATAGCCCACGAATGACTCCGCTTGAGATGCCTGGGGAGAAAACATGGAGCAGAGCGCACAGGGCTTTGAATGAGGCGATTACTGGGAAAGTATGAAAAAATGCAGGCAGCCTTAGCGACCTAGCGGTTTATGTTAGCATCCCAGACGTTGTGCTAGATAGCTGGGGTGAGTCTGTGGCCAGGACACGCGTCAGAGGCTCTCGCACTTGTCAGCGTCTCAGCTCCCAGCGGCATCAGAAAAATCTGGCATCTTCTTAACATTCTGCTTTCCTGCGCGGCTCACTTTGCGGCACCGTGCTGCCAAAGCATGGCTGTCCAGATCCAGCGTTCACGCACGTGCCAGATTTGTTGCTGCCAGGGCTGGAAGAGCAGGCCGTCGGGCTGGCTATGCCTGGAACAAGCGCTGATTCGGGGTCGCGGTGCGCACTATCTCGCTGCCAAAGGCAGCTCATGTGCGCATGGATGAGAAGGCCGTGCAGTCAAGCTTCAAAGCCTCTCACGTGCGCTGCGGCGCTGCAGCGCATCAGGCACACACATGAAGGGCGCGGGCACAGCACCACTCTGGAAAAGAGACGAGCGCACGATGAACTTCTGTTGCGAGCCCAAGTCCTGCAAGTAGAGTCCAAAAGGCTTGGAACAGCTCCCCAGAAGGCCGAAACAGGCACTAAGTCCCACTCCTAAGCTCTGAGCCATGAGCCGAAGCTTTGGCTCCCAAGGGTTTGCCCCTACCGCAGGTGCCCGACGAGGACGAGGATCCGGTGCCGCCTCTGGCCTGGAAGCCAAAGGCCGTGCCCGACCTTTTCAAACCAAAGTGAGGGAAGTCACTAGCTACTTGAACCTAGGACAGCGCCCCGCCCTCCCCCCTACCTACGAGACTTCATGACTGTCAGCCGACCTTGAGCTTGTATAGCCTTAGACGTTTCAATATAGCCTAAACCGCAAAACAAACCACAAAGTCCTAGTTGAGCCCTTCCCTTTCGTCAAAGATCTCGGCGCCGCCAGGTCTCCGTTTCTTTGGAGCAGTCAACCGGCCGCCAACTCACAGTGCCCTGGCTTTTTTTCACACGCCACAAAATCTGTTCAACCCTTTGCCAGGATACATTATGACTCTTGCGGGCTTAGGGTTGCGGGTGGGGGTTTGTTTCCCGGAGAAGGAGATATGCACTAGACTGTATTGTGCTGAGGAAGTTTCTGCATGTGAGGTGCACTTCGGGCTTCAGGTTTCGGAGATTTTCGGAGGTTTCGGGTGGGCTTGAAGTCGGTGCTCCATGATGCCTCGATTCTTGAGGACGCAGGTGTGTGATGCAATTCTCACGTCTCATCTACATCCTGCACTTGTGGCATGAGACCCTGAACACCGCGTGCTGCAGAAACCTCTTGTGGAGAGAGTGTTATGAAGAGAGTGCTATGAAGTTGATTTCGTCCATCTAAAAAAATTAAACGGATGCTTTTCTTGTGCCTCCAGGAAGACATCGATGCCATCATCACGGATGTGGTCCTGGCCTAAATGGTTCTGTGACTACCTTGACATACCTTGACCCTGGACTGGACATGAACGAGCCATTGCCGAGGTGAACCAGGCGCTCGTGAAGAAAGCCATACAAGGAGCAGTGGGCAGCTTTCAGGGCAGTGGAAGATAACACGGCGGACAGATGCTTCGCAAAGCACATCATGCATCATATGCTGGTCCATGCTTTCTCACGCCCAGGTCGGGTCATGCAATTTCTGCGTGACCATCGCAGACCCACGTGGTTGGGCTCTAAGGCTGAGGCGAAGGTCCTCTTGGGGTGGTTCCTGTGCCCAGGGCTGACCTGATTCTGGCACCTAGGCAAGGATTTCCCCCTCATTGCCGTGTCAGAAGCCTTTGAAAAAATGACGGGTTTCAAGAGGACGGGGGTGGTGCTTGTGAGTTCAAAATGCGCTCAATGGCTCAAAGCCGCGCAATGAAAGGAGCGAGATCCTGGGGGCCAATTGCCGCTTCCTGAATCAGGGGTGTGGAGACCTCAGAGGTGCTTCATGCTTCAAGGCCAAAGCCTTTCGTGATTCGTGCCATGCCATGGTTTGCCTCTCTTTTCCCAAGATTCCGACTGTTTGGAGGCCCAGTGATGAGATTTAGTGGTAGCTCCGAACTCATCCAACAGCGAGCTCACGTTGGGATCTGCGCTGCCGAGGCCCCATCTCTCCGTCGGATCTGGTTGGTCTCAGGCTGGCGAGGCTCCCTCTTTCAGCTTGGTGAGATCGTTTTAGAAGCTTGATGATGGGGAATGGGGAGTCGAGCATGTCATGATCTCCCTCTGGTGAAAAATCGCGCCATCATTCGCATGCCCTTGCCAGTGAGCGTGGCTGTGCCTTTACGGCACTTCTGCCGAATCGCAAGAAGTCGGGCGAGATGCCGTGGGCTTATTGCAGCACATGGTGCAGGATCGTGAGCTCCAGGATATCTTTGGATGCGCACTGGCTATTGCAGCGCAGAGCAAGTCACGACAGCAATAAGCTGCTGGAAGGAATATCTTTTTTGTTGTATCTCAAGCACGCCCTCCACCCCTGAAGAGATTGATTGGAAAGATTGAAAAGATGAACGAAACGAAGAAGGACAGATCAGAATCTATCTGCTGCTGCACCGTCGTTCCTGGATACTGTACAAACTGCTGAGCACAAGCACTGTTTTTTTTTTTTTTTCCCGCTCTTGGTTCTTCTCGTCAGGCAGTTTACTCACCACAAGATTCCTGAGACTTCAGCGTTTCGCCCACAACTGGGACGCTCATCAAAGGGCAGGATGAGGATTAGGGCTACGCACGCTCGAAGCAGACAGCCGCAGATCGGCATGAACCTCAAGCTTCCTCAGCAGAATTGGCATTCCAACTCAATCTAACAGACTGTACCTTGCAAGGCGCTTTAAACACATGTTGTGCGTCCGTGCGTGGGCTAGCTGCTGACTTTTTTGGCTTGCCAAGCTCTCTCAGCCCCTGCGCGTTGCGGGCGTAGTTTTTTGCGCAGTTTTTCAACATCCTACGGGGAAGCCCGCAGTGTGAGCACGGTAGGTCAACGATGCTCGCCCTTCCAGTGCACCTCAAATAATCGGTGTTGATTTCGCCAGTCCAGTGTGTTTGTGCTCGTCAGAGCCGCGAGCCGTGAGGTTCATAAACCTACTGGACTTGCGTGGCCTGACCATTGCGACAGACGTAGAGAACAATGAGGAGCCTGTAGTGGAAGTCTTTCAGCTCCAAGGTGCTGGAGTTTTTGGGGATGACTCTTTTGACAACCGATGCAGTTTGACACCCTTGCCTCAACTCTGCCCAGGAGCTTTGGTACCTTATAGGGATCCAGGCTGACATCACTGGACTCGGAGATCGCAGCGTCCCGGAGGCTCACTTTGCAGTTGCATGCGACTTGGATGTTGGCATGTAATTTAAATGCTGTGCGTCGGTGCGCAGCGGTCTTTAGGGTGTCGAGTGTAGGGATTAGGGGTGTAGAGAGCCTCCCACCCCCACCTTTCTCATAAAGCGGGGGGTTTTGCCCTGAACGCCTGGCGTCTATTCTGCGCATGCATGCCTCGTTGTTCCCCTGTTCTGCTCGAAAGGTTTTTTTTCTCTCTGCGGACTGCCTTGGGTTCCTTGATGCATGCTGGATGGCTCATGGGTGCGGTAAGTTAAGTTTGCTTTCAACTTAGAACCATCACTTTCAAGCAAGCACATGTTAGGTGGTTTTGCCACGAAAATACCCAACTTTCGCTTCGAGTCAAGATGCAGCGCTCACGCATCGTCGTCGTCATTCTCGAGACTCGAAACTCTCATCGTTTTGGATTGGCCTGTCATGTGTTTGCAAATATGGGGCACGGGGGCTACGCTCCGCCAACCCCCCTGGCTTTTTTCTTTTCTAACCGTACCCTTTCCAACCTCATCATGCCTGTCACGTGTTTGTAGAATGTGCAAGCCGTTGACAGCCAAGTACCGCCAAGAGCACGGTATTTAAGTGGGATTTAGAGCATTCTCAAGCTGGCGAACCTACATAAACGGTCTGATTTTTGGTTGGCACGTTTTTGTTCACCCAGGATCTGGAAAGCTCGTGATTAGTGTAATTGCTGGGATTTCGAGAATTTTCAAGCTGACTGAAGTACATAAATGGTGTGAGTTGCAGGTTCTTGCCACGTTTTGTAACTACCTAGGAGCTGGAAATGCGGAAAGCGTTGTAACTCACAGTTTAAAAGCCCGTCGCTACTGTCATTGCTAGGATTTGAAGTCACAAAGTGGCACAGAAGACATGCCAAGCCATCAAGCGAAGACACAAGCCAAGATCGCACGGGAGAGGAATCATCACAAGTGAGGACCTGTACAGGAAGTGAGGCGTGCTTGTCCATCCGTGATGCTACCGAGGGCATGTCATGCACAATAGAGTGGCCATGGCAGAGCTTCGGCACTACAAAAACTTCTTCAGAAGACAAGGATTCCGCGCCCTCCGCGCCCTCCGCGCCCTCCGCGCCCTCCGCGCCCTCCGCGCCCTCCGCGCCCTCCGCGCCCGCCCGCCCGCCCGTCCGCCCTCCCCTTCCGCCCGCGCCTTCTGTCTCGTGCATTGTGTTCACGCTGCGGGCGCGTTGTGTCTAGTCTGCAGGCATGACATGCCTTGAAGAGTCCACATTGTGGACTCTTCAAGAGCTCCCCCCCCCCCTTAAATTGGCAACATTTGAGGGGCCTAATGGGATCATGGGGAACCTCTGAAGCCAGACGGCTGAGGGCTGAGGGGGATTTTTCTGGCCCAGCACAGCCCTGAACCCTCAACATGTTGCACTGTTGGTGCCTCTCCACTTTGTCCACCTAGCTATTTCCTAATCGCTTGCAACTTCTCTTGCAACTGAGCATCGCTGACGAGAAGCTTGTAGGAAGTGGTGGATGTGTTGGAAGTATTTGGAAGTGTTGCTTGCTACATCTCCCGCTGTGAGGACCACATGGTCGAGCTCCAAGAGGCAGGGAAGGGATGACGTTTGCAAGCTCCTTGCCACGCAAGCCTGAGATTCTCAGCTTTTGAACCTTCAAGAACCATATGCCTTTCATGACCGTGGCAGATTGCCTCGATGATCCGGAAGAAGCTGGTCAAGGCCTTTGCCATGCGTTTGTTCTTGTCCTCGCACTCTGTCCTTCGCGTCCTTCCCACTGCGCTGTTGGAGAGGAGATCTCCTTACTTGCCGCTGAAGCAACGGCAGTCCCAGAGAGCCAGGACCGCCAGGCAGGGCGCCTTGCGAGGGTGTGGGGGCCGTATGGGCCAGTCACCGAAGCCAAACAGAAACCACCCAAGAAGTGTTCCTGCCTGCCAGACGACGCCCAGCAACGCCTCAGATCCGCAGAAGCTCACCAGATCCTTCAAGCTCTTGCAGGCCATTTCGAGTTTGAAGTTTGGACCGACTTTCCAGGAACAAAATTACAGGTATATACAGGTTTTTCGGGCTAGCATGATCTACTGCGCTACATGCCATCTGCTGGCTCTTGAGCCTCTCCGCCTCTTGCAGGAGCCCATCTGGAGAAAGGGATCGTTGAGCAAGCAGGCCCAGTCTTGTGTAAGCAGCAAGTGAAAAGGATGAGAATGGCCTGTGGAGGCTGTCCTCGAAATGGCTGCGAAGCTTGAAAACCAAGCAGCTGGCTTACGATTTGGGGAGAAGGGTCCATCGATGGCGCCCTTGGTTGATGTCCGTGCAACCCATGAGGCTCCTCAGGCGAGGTCACGAACTGCCCCGGCCACCTTCTCGAGATGGCTAGTCCTCCCTGCAGGCCCAGGACATGAAAAGCTGTTCTTGGTAAAGCTTCTTTCCAAACCAGCTTCTACTTGTAGAACTGGCAGAAAATGAAGTGCCTGAGCTATTCTCTCTCTCTCTCTCGTGCGCTCTCTCTCGCTCTCTGTGTCTGGTCAGTTTCAGCGAGTGAGCCAACGATGGCCGTGAACTTCTTAGAGCATCTAAGTGCGGTTCGAGGTGGGCTCCACATCTCCGTGTTGCTGCTGAGCGTCGCCTCTTTCCTAACGGGTCTCCTGCTTGTGCCTGAGATCCTCAACGGCAATGCGTATACGAGACCTGTTCGTATTCAATGGCTGTAAAGAGCTTTGGTCTTGCAGACACCTAACTCCATAGGCTTGCAGCATGCTGTCACTGGCCATAGCACATCCCAAAGAATCCCAGAACCCTTGACACCCAAGCCCTCTAACCCCGAAAGCCGGCAGAAACTGCCCGTAAAAAAATGCGCACTGAGGCTGGGCCGAGGCTCTCGGCGAGGTGCCTGAGGCGCGCATCTTTGCAAAGCCCTCTCATAAAGGGGAGTTGAAGGGACTGGGGTGACCACTGGGTTTTTCTTGGGGAATGTAAGCCAATGTAAGCAGTTGTGCAAGACACCGGAAACCTCGCAAACAGGCCTCTCCGACTTGCCCAGGTCTCTGCACAGCAGGTAGAGTCTCTAGAGCTTTGCAGTTTCAGGTAGAGTCTCTAGAGCTTTGCAGTTTTGCTGTTGCCAGGAGGCCTCCAGGTTCAGACTTTTCATCTTACTGGTCTGTGAGTGCTGGCCTCAGCCAACATGGCAATCACAAACGCCTCAAGCGCTTGACTTCTTAGGTGGCTCATTGCAACGGCTTGTCCTGCACAAATAGTGAAGCTCGGACAGCTCTTCCACGCGCATTCGCAACTAGGCAAAGTCATGTTGGAACGCGCGGTCTCTTGTGAAGGACATGCGCGCCTAGGCCTAGGAGATGCCAGGAAGATCCGGAAAGGCTGTCCGACGTCGGATCAGTGTTGCAACGGTCACAAACACAAGGCCATGAAGGTCGAATTTTCGTGCAATGAGCCGTGTTGTGGTGCTGTCCACAGCCATCTGGTTCGTCGGAGCTTTGAGCCCGAAGCAAGCCATCATTCTTCCAGTCTCTTCGACCAGCCTGACATTTGGCTACATGAAGCGCACTACTGCCTGCAGCTTTGGGGCGGGGCAGCTGGTCGCAGAGCCCTTGCTCTATGCAGTGAATTTCCATGCAGACATCTGCCACAAAGGCCATGTATGGCCTAATGCCTGCGAAGTTGGCCCGGCAGCCTGGCCGGACGACAGCATCCTAATCTGTTATTCCGTTATTCCGTTGATCTGGTCGTCTGGTCGCAAGGCAGATCTTCATGTCCTGCTGCCCGCCTGTGATATCCTGTGATGTCCTGTCAACACTAGAAGCTTAAGTCGTGAGGCTGTTTCTATGCGGTGCGGGAAACAGCAAAGTGCCGAGGGGATACTACATAGCTTATCTCACCTGGATCCCGGATCCGTCCGGATCCGTAAATGTGCTTCTTGCAGATGTTTCAAACGATTTTCAGAACTCAGACTCGATGGCCCTCAGGCCTGGGTGCTTGACTGCTGACAGCGCAGCTAAAGCGTTAGAGCAGGCATACTGGAAAGTATTGAAAAGGCGCTTGTCACGTCAAGGACCTGAGATCCTCACATTCTCAGAGAGCCTCAGAGGCGAAGCCTGAGCGCTTGGCGGTCATTCAGCTGCTCCCCACAGGGAAACAAACACTCAGCCCGTCACCACCGGCCCTAAAACCGGAGATCGTGGAGCTAGGCGCGATTGAACACAGGGGCCGGAGAAGCATCGACCGTTGTCGGAAGCCAGACTGAACGTCTTTCCGAGTTTCCTGGATTCGAGGTTAGTATGTGTGAATATGCTTGAATGTCTCCGAGAATTGAAGATCGGTTGGATAGTTCACTCGGAAAGCATCGGGCACAGCTTAGTGGAGTTTTTCGCCCTACCAGTGGGCCGTGGGCTTTCTGGCATTGCAGAAGATTCGAACACCCTGTTTCGGTGGAGGACTGCCGCAACGTCCCTCGTAGTCTCAAGTGACGTCAGGTGAATACTTCGGCTTGAGATTGTGGCATTGTAGGCTGGATCTTCTCCCGAGAACAGACACTTCTGAATCCGTCGGCGCTGTGAAGCCTGCCACGCTCCCTCGCAGAAAGGCGTCCGTCTCTTTCTGGCTGAGCATGGTGCGGTGACAAGGCTGTTGGCATGAAACTGGGGCCACTGACAGCTCGCAGCCATTTTTGGTCGTGCACATCTCGGCACATCTCAGAGGTTGTAATACCCACTCATTTATTCCCCAATACTATCCCCGCCCGCTGACCGTACGGAGCCCCTCGTCCAGAGAATAGAGCCGTACCCTTGCAAATTGGGCAGCGCCATGTACGATGCTCCCCAGCTTGGTCGCTCAGGCAATGGTAGAGTGCAGTTCTTCGGTTCTGGCAACGTGCCCTAGCCTTTGGAGAATTTTGGAGTTTGGAATCCTACTACTGGAGAGGGCTTCTCGGCTTATCTCCCCCGCTTTTGCAGATCTGTCCTTGAACGCATGTGCTGCTTGGAGGTCATTCAAAGCTCCTGGCAACAGCCAGATCTCAGCTGTCTGGAGGTGAAGGCGGTTGGTGGACTTGGCAGACCAAATGAAGATGGTGGGAAGGAGTAGGTCAGTAGGTTCCGAAATGCTGCGCAATCCGTAATGCAGACCCAGTTGCAAGGCCTCGTTAAAGCGCAGCTATGAAGATGCGCTGTTCCAAGTTGAGGAGCCCGGGAGAACCCAATCCTTGCTTTAGACTCATGCTTGCTTGTCAGCCTAGGTGCTACTTCACCCCAGGTTTCGGATGATCTCAAGCTTGGGGTCTCGCATAAGCGGTCAGCATCTGATTGCCACCACAGGAGCTGCAGCAGAATTTCCAGTCGCTTGCAGTGCAAAGCTTCACTGATGCGTGGAGGCCTAGCTGCACGCAGGATAGTCTGCTCAAACTTGCGTATTTAGTAGTGGCAAGTAAGCATACAGCCATCAAGATCTTGCTCGATGTTCGCGCTCAAAAATCGCCGCTTGAAAGTATCCATTCGCTCAGGCGACGGCTGTGCAGGCGAGTCTGCTCGCATGCATGAGTTGGGGTTGCTGTCGCGTTGCTGCGTGCTACACCAAGTGCATCCTACGGGACCCGCATGGTCATGTATATTCAGGATCGGGTCCTCAGCAAAAGCCCACTGGGTTTCAAGGTGCTCTACCATTGCAAGCTGAGTTTTCCAGGAGCTTCCCCAGACCTGGTCCTGGTGGCAGCTGGTGGCTCCCCTCCTCCCGGTGGCTGCAACAGCCTTCAACATGCAGGACTGACAATCGAACCATAGGCCGGTAGGCTTCATGATTCCTCAACCCAGGCCCTTGTCTCAGTGCCTCTCCCATAACAAAGCTTTAGCCTCAATCTGGAGCTTGGCCCCTGGCCACCGCCAAACTTGATGAGGGCAGCCTCCGCAGATTCCAGGCTGCTCTCTGTGCCCGGGAGAAGGGCTGCTGCAAGGACCTGCTGCTCGGCAAGGCCCGACAAATCTGACCTTCAGAGTGCTGAAGGATTTATGACGGTATTAGTCTCCTTGGGACCCTAAACCCTAAACCCTAAACCCTAAACCCTGAACCCTAAACCCTAAACCCTAAACCCTTAACCCTGAACCCTTAGCCCTTAACCCTTAACCCTTAGCCCTTAGCCCTTAGCCCTTAACCCCTAAACCCTAAACCCCGTTCATGGGCTCTTGAACCCTTGGCTCTGCTGATGCCCTGCGAGGCCATGCTGACCTTTCGCCATGCCCAGGATCCTATAGGGTTTAGGGTTTAGAGTTTAGGGTTTAGGGTTTAGGGTTTAGGGTTTAGGGTACTGAGAGTTGCAGGTTTAGGGGGGAATATGAACTGGGGTCGAAGGTCAAGGTGGTAGCATTCTGGCCGGGCACTATGGAGAATGGTGCCTGCTTGGTGTTTCTTGACGTCGACACCATGGTCATGTACAGAGTCCAGGGGTGCTTTCTCTTCGAGGGCGCGCAATTGAGTTACCTACTTACAAGTGCTCATGAACCTTCAACAAGCATCAGGAGAAGATGAACATCTTGATTTGGCTTGGCACCTTCCAAGGCCTTCCGCTCCGAGGTTATCCCTTCCTCCTTTGATTCATCCACCCCTCCCAAAAATTAGCTCGGAATGCAGTGCAAATGAATGGGAAACCTCGATCTGAGTGATGTTGAGAGGCAGCTTTGCTCTCGCGCCTCACACTGTCGAGGGGCGGTATGTCCAAGGACTGCTCGGGACAAGTGCTGCTTAGGTTGGGTTGAGCGTGCTTTGAGCTGCCTGCCACAACTGCAGAGGCCAAGCATGAAGCCAAGCATGAAGCCTCAGGAGATGCCTGGAATGAAGAGCAAGATGGTTCGTACACGGAGGTGCTCACAGTGCTCACCAGAGATCCTTGTTGCACGTAAAAATGGCATGAAGTGGCACTGAAAGTAGTCAACAAGCTTGCCCATGGCTGGCCTAGTGGCCTAGAGGGGCCAGCGGCCTCACATCATTCACGGTACTGCCTCTAGCAGCCATGATTGCAGTCCAACACATACAGCATACCTTATGCCCTCCACGTCGCCGGCCAGATGTCTCCGGCAGAGCGCGTGAGGAATCAGGTGCTCACCGAGTATGGGCCCCAATGTGGCTGCTTTTCCGCACCTTCAGTTTGTGTGGTGCAAGGGCTGCTCTGGTTGAACGAGTTTCGATGTTGGGTTTGGGGTGCACCGTTGTGCTTGTGCTGTCGGCAAGTGCTGTCACAAGCATGCTAGTTCGAAGGTTCAGACAAGGATGGTTCAGCAGGGACCACGGCTCTACACACTGCGTTTAGCCAGTGGCTAGCGCCAAAGGTACCGGTTTGGTGACCAGCTCTTCAACCTCTTCGGACAGGCGCTTCATGAAGTGTCCCTGACAGGCTTGGCATCACGAGATATTCGAGAGGACACAGAGAACAACTTTTAGCCAGGCTCTTGCGGCCCTGTGGGTAGCAGACCCCGTGGAGCCCACTGGCCGATATCCATCGCCAGAGCACTCGGCATAGCAGAGCAGAACGACTGTAGACACAGACACTGTGCACTGTAGCTTTATGCAGCTTCTGCAGATGGGACCCCTCGCAGCACGCTTGCACTCAGAACGAAGAATATGAAGATGATTGATGTGAATGAAGGTCGATGGTCGCCTTGTACGAGCTCGCCAACATTGGAACCGTCGATGAGGGCTTGATGAGGCAGGACCATGGTGGCCCAATGCTGCCCATGCTTCCCCAAAATGCCGATAATTACAGTGGTCAATGGTAATCGGTTGCTGCCGCTCATGGCACGACATCTTTTTGGGTTCAGATGGCTCTGTGACGGCATCTTTCGTGACAAGTCCATCGTGGAGTTCACGCCTCAATAGTCGCAATCCGCAGCCTGTTCACTGCCTGCTCAGCTTTGCCAAAGTGGCATCAAAGATCAGAATGAAGAAAATGAAGGTTTGGGGCTCTCAATGGCCGCAGTGCGGAGTGGCTGAACCGTTCCGGGGCCACTCGGGGCGCCTGGGCCTTTGATGGCGCTGGGTGCCCAAGATGAGCTTCGATGTGCAGCGCATCTAGGGCCTGCAGCCTTCGCTGCTGAGGCGACTCGGGTGTTCGACCTGACGCAGGGGCGGGTGGCAGAGCAGGACCGCTGCAGCTCCGTCGGGAGAGGTTGTATCGGACAGTGCACTCAGAGCCCTACCAAATGCAGATTGCGCAGCCTCAAAAGGACCTCACGCAGGTCTTCCAGCTGCCGCAGAGCTTCGACTGGGCCCTGTGTCTGGAAGTTGCAGAGCACATCCCGGAGGCTCCCCAAACCTCGCAGAATCAGACAGCAAAAACAGGGCTATTCCGAAGATTCCTTGAGAGGTCGGGCTGCCTGTCTTCCTGGACAACCTGCGCCGCCACCTACGCGAGGCATCGAGAGTCGAGACCCTACGTTGACGGCATGTTCTGTGAACAGACAGGTGTCTGGGTGCCGGCCGGTCGAACCACGAAGCCCCAAAATGCAAGACAGGGTTTAGGGCCTTTAGCTTTTAGGGTTTAGGGTTTGGGGTTTAGGGTTTAGGGCAGAGTCAGTTGCGGAGGATCAGGGTCAGCTGCTGGGCGCCATGTCTCACGAACCTTGCTGCCCTTCACCTCCGCCCAATCCCAGAACCCTCTGGGGCTTTGTTCTAGATTGGGGCTCCTTCCTGGGTTTTTTCCCAGCATCCCTGTTATAACAAAGTACCTCTGTTATAACAAAATCGCTGGAACCCCCCCCATATTGTGTGCTTGCCCTGCAACGCCAGCTCTGCCAGGGCTTGATACTGAGCTGGTCTTGGTGCGGTGCTGGGGGCAGCGGCCATGTGAGCTGTCGCAGCACGGAGGCAGCACCCGTGCTTTGCTTGCACCCGAAGCCCGAAGATGCACAGCACGCTCGACAACCGAGCAGCCGTGAACCCCTGAAGCCCCGGCCTGAAAGCCTGAAGACTGAGCCTGAAGGCTTAGTTCCTCAGCCCAGAAGAAAGATAAGCCCTAGCCATTTTCGGATTTTGTGGCGGAGTCGGGCTTTGGGTTGTCAGTAGAGTTGAGGGTTTACGGTTTAGGGTTTAGGCTTTAGGCCTTTGCAGGAAGTGCAAGCTCTACTCCGGCCTTTCGGCACTATGCTCAGTGCATCTCAGTGCGCTTCTCACGCACAGAATCTGTCTGCTGCTTCGGGAAGGTCTAGGAAGTTTACTGCTGCTGAACTCTAAACTCCATTAAGTCGTAAATCCTGAGACCTTGAACTTTGAGTCATAAAACCTGAAACCCTGATACCGGGTTTAGGGTTCACGCTTGTTGTTTGGTGACACTGTTGAGGCCTCATTGCCGACAAGGAAGCGAGCGCCGCTGCCCAGGCTTGGACAGACAGGTTTCTGCATGTTTAGGGCTAAGGGCTTAGAGTTGATTCGGGTTCCAGGTATGGGAGCCTTTTATAAGGGCTTGCCCCATATGTTCAGGGCTTCGAGCTTATCCGTTTCACCTTTCTTGAGGCAGCTTCGACGGTCTGGTGGATATCGCGGACAGTCCAAGCACGGGGCTCGGAAGAACGTGCTGCATTTATCGCAGTGATTAGAGTACAGCGGTTGCCTAGGCACGTCGGGGCTGGAGGATGTTGCAGTCTACCAGCAGTTGATGTGGACATGGCTTCTGAGTATCTGTGCTATGGAAAGGTCGGTTCGAACGGAGTACCCATGCCGAGGTGTTTCGCGCTGTCGCTTGAGATGTCCATTGCTTCAAATTGGAAAAATCGCACGCAGGACGATGCGTCGAGGGTGATGTTGTGCAGCAGGGAGCAATGTTGAGACGTGGGTGCACCGCAGCTGTCTGCAAGTCATTGCAAGTCATCATGCTGAAACTCGTCGGGATAGTTCAATCCTTCAATGTGCAGGTCAGCAACACCAGCATGGCCACGTTATTGCAAAGTCTCTTTGGTGCCTTTATAAATCTTCCTATGATAAATAATAGATAGTTATACATAGAACAAATCACTCACCCCCGTGACCTACTTACCCTCCGTTTGATACGTAAAGACCCTGTTTTTCCCAAGCAGCTTTCGCTGGGGGTTCTGAATTTGTGTACAGAAAGGGTTTCTGTAATGTGACATGTTCGCCCCTGTTCCAGGACAAACTTTAGCAAGTACACGAGGTTGGATGATCCCGTGAGACACAAACGGGGGCACGATTTGTTGGTGTTGGAGCCGACTCTGTGACATGAACATCAATGCAAGACGGCTGAAATTTAAGACTGCACTCCATGTAAGTATGTTTGTGTACACATAGAGAAGGTATTTTAATTTTTACAAGGCAAAGCTGAGTAGGTAGGCGTGCATCGACCAGTTTTGGTATTCCAAGGTTTATGTAAAGATGGTCCGGGAGGTATGCATCCCAAATGTCATCCACACCTCCCTCCCAAACCACCCAAATCCAGGATTCAGGACCAAACGTCCAAAATCCAAGATCCAAGATCTCGAAGGCCAAGGATCCAAGAATCCAAGATTTTGAAGGCTAAGGAGTCAAGATCCAACAAGCTTGGGTATTGGATCTTGGTCCTTTTACCTGGATCGCTGATTGTAGACATCTTGCATTTGGGATCCGTGGCCTTTCCAGTCTTAGATGTTGGATGGTGGATCCTGGTCCCTTGACCTTTGAAACCTTGGATCGGGGACTGTGGATCTTGGATTGTTGGCTTTGAAAATCTTGGATCTGGGATACTTGTATTTGTGTGCCCGTCCCTTTGGGGTAGGTCGCCGAGAGGAGGGAGGGGGAGCCAGCATCTTCATATACATATATGTATATACACACATATATATCTATCATTCTATCCATCTATCTATCTATCTATATATATATATACACATATATGAATATATGTTTTTGTAGATGAGGTTCTTTTCATGGCTACGCAGCACCATAGCAAAATCCTGATCTACGCAGCACAAGCAACAGTTCAACTTCATGTCCTGCTGTGATGCAAAGACCAGAACGCCAGAGTCTCATCGTCACTATGACGTTGCGCTTCCCTCGATGATCCGTCTCGGGCAGCTTCGGCCTTTGCAGGGTTCTCAGAGGGGGTTTAGGGTGTAGGGCGGGCCCCCGGCGGACTCCAAGAACCACATGTGTGGGGGTGGCGGGGGGTGGGCAGAGAGAGGGGGATAAGTCACAGAAGCGCTTGTGAATATGTGACGCCACAGTTGTTGCATTACATACTGAGTTCAGGGATTAGTGTTCCGGTTATGTACAAGTGTAAACTTCGGCTTTCTCCGGGACGCCGCATGGGAAGCGTGAAGGTGTGCGTAGGCATTGACTTCTAAACATCGAGTGTAGTGGCTCCAGTGTCTTGGAATTGCCCACCCCGGGCTTCTCCCCTTTCAGTCCTTCTCAGAATCTGAAGACGCCCAGGTGCCGCGCCCTTTCGCGCGGGCCAGCGCCCTTCCGATGGGCCGCACTCTCCTGGTTTCCTGAGTACTATCTGAGTACAGTACTTTCAGTATTTCCCCCCCCCCCCCCCCAACTGGACACTGGTACTGGAGTGTGAGAGGAGTTGGGGATGTTTGCATGTCAAAGTCTTTAAATCGTTACGAAGCATCCCTCAATGGGCTTCTGTGGAAGCCAGGTGACATCCGAAGTTGCACCTGCGCCCAGCCACACCGCCTTTTGGCCTCAGTCAGATTTTTTGGGGCGCTGATGGGTTTTGGCTGGCTCTAGGTAGCAAACGAAGGATTTCGATTCTCACTTACGGCCTTCGCAGCCATGTGAGCCTGTGTCTTTCCCTTTGCGCAACTTGTGAGTGGCCGGGTCCAAGCCAAGCGCTGTGTGAACAGAGCAGACTCCAAGCGCGACCTTGTCTCCCACAGGTCGGTCTACCCCTCCCGGGATACGAGCCAGGCAGGTTGCATGTCAGCCCCAGAAGCCACTTCTTCTCGAACCGTGTCCGTTTGTCCATGACACGGCGAGCAAAGTCCACTGAGCCCACATCACATTTGGAAGACCACAAGCGCTCGAGCTCCAGACTACCGTACAATTACAACAGAGGTCCAAGTCCACACCACATCATTTCTTGTACATGCAACATCCTGGCAACCGCAAGGAAGGGATGGATGCAAACGAGTCCACACCCCCGTACCCAAATCATCCCAAACCCCCAAACTTGAAACTTCGGCGAGCATCTCTTGTTGTTCACAAGTCACCCAGGCAGCCAGCTCAAATAGTGTCTACACGACACCCCTCGCGCCCCGCGTGCCACATGTACATCAATGATAGGACCGAGTTCAGCTGACAGACCTCAACGATTCCCCGGACATACAGGGATCTCCAAATCACTGGTGACCTGAAAAGCCCGCTCACTCCTCCCCTCTCTTTGCCTTTCGCAGATGGCTCCAGCCTACGGAACCTCGGGGCGGCAGACCTTGCACGGGCCGGCAGCCCGGGACAGAATTAGGACCAAATAGCATGATCTGAAGCTTGGGCCTCCGCATCACATGCCAGCACATGAGAGCAGCGTTATTGCCCCCCTATATCATGGTGCACTTCATCTGCCGGATCTGCCGGGCTGCTGCAGCTCTCCTGAAGCCCTCAGCCCGAGTCGTTTGACGTGACATCCACTACCTGGACCCACACACCCGACACAGCCCCATCATCAGAGGGGTTGGCCCTCAGCGAGGCGGCAGTGCATTCTTGAGGGTTATCATCTTCAGCTTGGACTTTCTGCCCCGCCCGACCATCAAGTGGCACTCGCATCAGTTCAGTGCCAAGCAGTTGGCCCATCCTCCTCAGCCCTTGTCAACTGCCAGCTTGGAGGCCTCCTAAGCCTGCTAGGCCTCAGATGTCCTTGCAGGCAATGGCGCATTTGGGGAGCATAGGAGCATATTGGAGTGAATAGGAGTACATATACATACACATATGTTTCTTATAGGAGTCTCTTCACGCGAGTCTACTTTGGTGGCCCAGGTTCCAGAGATGAGTTCCTCAGAGCTGCGCCGGCTCTCGGAGGCAGAGTGGTTGCTTCTGGCCCACGTTAAAGATATGGGCGTTTCCGAAATTAGAAGACCCCTTTTGGGGTCCTTCTGATAAGGGGGTCCTACGATTTGGGGGGCTACATGCCAGTGCACTATACGCTGTAGCTGTCGGTAGGCTTCTCTTGAGCAACCATGACGCCACCTACACGCCCTGTGTGAAGATCATGGAACTTCGTGGGAGGTGAGGGAAGCGGAGTTAGCGGAACCTTTACCCGTTTGCCTCCGAAAACGAAGCATAATTCTATTAACATCTCTAAGAATATTATGATCATTACAGTTTTTGATCTGCTGTATACATGTGTAGTGTATGAAGGTCAACATCTTTTGTCCGTAAGAGGCTACGTATGCCACAAGTATGTTTTTAAAAAGCATTCATACCATGATCTTCGTAACATTTTCATTTTCCCTCTATACATGAAACTAAAATATCCCATGCTATTCATAAGGAAAGTATTCTTGTAATTATCGAACATACAAAGCATATTCGTATCATTTACACATTTCTTCAGTAGTAGTTTGGAGAGAGAGACACACAAACACAATTAATGAGAGAGCAACAGATAGATTCCATGTCAGAAAGGATGAAACGACTACATGTCAAATGTGCAAATATGATATCAAGAAATGCAACAAAGCGCAACACGACAAGTCACAAACACATCAGGATTATCTGAAGACACTAGAAGATCCAGATTTAATTGACCAAAATGCTTGTCGGCAAGAAACACTGTTTTTGTCATGCTTGTAGAAATGGTATGTTGGCATGTATGTGGAAACCATATCGCCAGATTCAAGTAGCAGTATAGTATATAATCTTTCAGAGGCGTTGCACTCCGAGTATATCTTGATAACAGATGATAGCCTTCGGGAATATGGACGGGGTAACTGGTTATTCCAATACTGGTCTTGGCAATTGGGAAGTGGTGGTGATATTGGGGAGAATTGTCGTCGGGAGTTTGTTTCGGAGAATCCTCTTTTCGACTGGTACTGGTGGGAGGTAGGGGAGAGTATAGGAAAAATCTTTACACGGTGGGTTAGCGGTAGGCTGGTGGTATAGTCACCCAAAACGGGCAAAGGTTCCGCTAACTAGCCGGGGGGGGGGGAACAGGAAGGTGTGGGTGGCAATGGAAGAGCCGCAGTTGATCTATGCAGGCCCCACACCGCCCTGCAACTGCAAGAAGTCTTTGCGCATGGCAGCTGTCCATAGCCATGAGCCCCCAAAGCCCTAGACCGTCGAGCCCGAAGCGCAAGCTTCGTGAGTCCGTCGCAGGCCGCGGTCGCCTCAGGTGCCTCGCCAGCCCTGTGGGCTGCTCTCGCAGTTCGATGCCAGGCACTTCTCACGAAGACTTTGGTTTCGAGAATGCTTCAACATTTTGTCATTCCTTTTTGGTCTGGATTGAAGTTTAGGCTCGATGAGTTCCGTCGGAGTTCTGTCGTCTTGAGTCAGATACTCTCTCTCTCTCTCTCTCTCACTTGTTTTCATTCTATTCCCCGTCATTTGGTTGAACCCCCAGCCGAAGGTAGTGAAGGTGGCCCGAGGTTTGCTGCCGGTTCTCAGCCAGAAGGGCACTAAGTGCAAACCATGGTCTTTGTTCCCAGGAGGTCGGCACCCGAGTCAACTATTGGGATGCAGCGGGGTGCCCAGCGAGTCATGACAAGTTCGGGTAGTTCAGAAGTTGGCAGCCAGACTCCAGAGCACCTGGCAAGGTGCACATCCTTCAGGCCTTTACAGCGGCAGGGGCGCAGGACCTAGATCAACCGGATCATGTACTGCTTCAGATGTCCCGATCGAGCCGGCATCAGAGCTATGCATATTGTCACGAATCAGGTTCCAGGCGGCATTGAACAGTTCCTCCTCAGTTTGGCTTTGTGCTTGAGTCCCAGAGTCCAAGGTCACGAACACGGACTTGTTCATGCATCTCGCGGATGTCTTAACGGCCAGGGGCTCATTGATCTCGGTGCAGTCATGCCTTTTGAAGAGTGGTCAGCGAGTGATTTCCTTTTGCTCTGGTGAGTGTAGGACAAGACCTCGAAGATGGCTCCAAAGCACATCCTCGACGTGCTGGCGGTGTATGAGGCCTGGTACCGCTGCGCCGCCTTTCCCTGTAAGGTGCTGCCGTCACTCTTCGAGTCCGTGGTGTCCCTGCTCTTGTCGGTGCTCATGCCGTGGTGCTTATTTTCGACCGGTTTTCGCTGATCATGCGTGAAAACTGTCACCAAGTGCTTCATTCAGCCCGTCTCGTGACCACGAGACGGTCCTTGTCAGTATTGCGCTGCCCCCTGAACCTTCAATGCATCATTTCTATAGTCATCGCCCAAGCTTTCGCGTGCCCGGCTCATGAATGATTGCCGTGAAAGCTGGTTGGTTCGCCCAGCAGCCTCGACTCAAAAAACTGGCTTCATCGCCATTGGCATTGGGAGCCGCGCCGGTTTCCTTTCGCCTGCCGCGAGCTAGGCGTGGCGCTTCCTTGCGCTTCTCCGGGCTTGGCTTGGTGCCTGGGTCCTATAGGGTTTCTTGTTCCTCTCTTCTTTGCTTTCCGCCCCTCAGCACGGCTTGTGCGGGTCGCTTGCCTAGGTTTTGCTCCCCAGAGCTTTTGCTCTTCAACCTTCCCTCCCATGTCTTCGCCTGGGGTTTGTAGGGTTTCAGGGCCCTGGAGCGCTCTGGGGAAAACATGGGACTGATGCGCACCAATGTTTTCCGCCACCTTTTTGTAGGGGTATGTTTTCGGTTGTGTGTCAGATGCCGACTCAAGTCGTGGTGTGTCACTTTGCTTTCCGGGAAGGCTGCTGACCTCCGCCCCGCGGGGCTCTATGTGGAGCTGCTTCATGCGATTGTGCGGCTTTCTAGGTCCCAAGCTTGGTGGGAACACTCCTAGTCAGCTGCAGGGGCCAGGGTTTTTGTGTTGGGCGTGAAGCCTCGTGTAGCTGAGGACTTCCCGGCTTTCCAGGGCAAAGCCTCCCGCAACCCCAAAGCCCTGAAGTCCTGAAACAGGAATTCCCTCAAAAGCCTCAGTTTTGAGCTCTTCAAGTCGACTCAAATGTATCCTGAGGTCCATGTACGCTGAGGAGCTCACCCTCACACTCCAGGCTTTGGCGCGCTACGAGCTGGGGAACCCAACCGCCACGGCCCTGGGGGTCCTGGATTTCTGGGGTTTAGGGTTTTGGGCCTTGGGGCCATGAGAAATCAGGGCTTTGCTCTCTGTGGTGGTTAAAGAATTTGCGCTTTCGGGGATTGAGTGGCAAAAATAGCTTGGGCTTCAGGGCCTTGAGGCTTTGTGGGGCCATGTGGCGGCGATGCTTTTGCTTCTTGAGGTTGTGGCTCAGCTCATGCGCGTAGTGCAGAGCGAGATCAAGGAGTTCAGGCCCCCACCGCTGCCCCGCATTCCAGTCCTGTGCGTTCACAAACACGCGTGCCATGAAGTTGTTTCTCCGCCTTCGCAAGTCACCAACCGAATGCTGTACTGGTAGCGAGACTCGAGCACCGATCCGGCGATCCGCAACAACACAGCTTCCAAGTTCCCTGCCTCACCTTCACCTTACAGCCGCTGTTTTCTTCTCGCCCTCAAAGAAGAAACGCGAAAGCACTCAAGGTCGTGTGTTGAATTTTGGATGCAGCAAAAGGCACTTTGCACAGACCATTGGGTTTGTTTTCTCAGGGCTCGGGGTTACGTTTGCCTCCCAGCTCATTATGTCATCGGTCGGAACTGACAGGCTCCGGTACCTGTGTGCGACTGCCGGCGCGCTCGGCACCATGCAAGCCTGCCGGAGCCTGGGATACTGTGGGGTTGGTACTCTGGCAAGGCATGTATCCATGCAGGATGTTGAAGTCTTTGCTTTACATGTGCTTGGGGAAAGAAGTGGATAGAGGCCAGCTTGGCGCCATGTGCGACCTCCGTACTACGCCTGTGGAACATGATTGATGCCACTGGATTCTTGCAGGCCCCGTGGATCTCATGGCTGTGCTCGATTCGCATGCCCAGTTCGAGGCATTCGGGCTGATTGCAGAGTTGCATGGGCTGCCGAGGGTGGCCACTCATAATTGGAAGGGAACACTCACAGCAGGCTACCTGGTCCCCGGGCAGCTTTAAATATTAGGCAAGTCCGGAATCCCCCGCCTTTCTGTCGCACAGCCACCTGTTGCGCCTGCCCTCCTGTTTGCCAGTTTCAAAACAGTTTCAAGATCTAGAAACAGCTTGGAGTGCGGAGCTTGCAAGAACACGCAAGTCAATTGATGCGTCTGGTCTTGGTTGCTGACCAGGACAAAATTGACATGTGTTTCAAGCAACTTGTTGCCCAGAAATCGCCGACAGTCCCATGTCCTGGCTTGGCAATCCTCGACTGTCGTCGCAATGACATTTGCTCTGGAGTGCTTTCAAAGAGCCTGCGCTGCAGCACTCAAGCTTTGAAGGTGGACACCATCAATACGCAGGAGCTGTTGGACAATGTTCAGGCTGCCCCCCCCCCCCCCCCACTGAACCCTACGAACCAGGCCTTCCTCGAAGATGCATCGGGGTAAAAAAGCTGGAGAAGCTGTGTGCAGGCATTTCCGCTCCTGGAGTATTCCTGGCGGCCGTACGAGGCGATTGGGGAAGATCTGGGAGCATTTGGGGAACGTGGGCCCTCGATTCGCCTTGGCTTTGTAGGAGCTTTGCCTTGGAGAGTTTCTTCGCCGAGTCGCCAAGTTCCGCATCGCCGAGGCAAGTCTGTGAGTGAGGTCATAACGCAGCATGGGCTTTGTTTCAGTCAGCAGCGAAGTTCTCCACATGCCTCCTTGCACGCCTTGCTTTTGGCAGGAAGTCGATCAGCTGGTGGACCCCTTTCAGGTGCTCTTTTTTCTTCAGGCTCGCGGCCACCTCCACGCAAACTACCTGCGGGCCCTGACGCAATGGTGCTTACGAGGTGTTCACCGGCCCAATGTGAGGTCTGAGCGTCGGCCCACGACGGCGCAACTCGTACTCCTCTACGACTACTGTCGAGAACATGGGTTGGAGGAGGAGCCGGCACTGAATGACACACTGTCCTACTTCGTCGAATCTGGTGGTGGCAAGTGGCATGCATTGTATGCCCGTCCTCTGGCCTACAAGAAGAAGCGGAATTACATTCGCAAGGAAGACCCCTTGAAAGATGTGGAGCTGCCACGGCTTGGCTCTAGGGCCTCAGATTCGGCAAAGCCGAAGATGCTGGAGGACCTTCCAGGTCTCCCGGGCCTTCCCCAAGAGGACTCGAGCGAGTCGCGGGAGATTGTTGAGGCTGAGACGGCGACGGTGGAGGGATTCCACAAGAAGCCCTCTGAAAGCTACTCTCCTCAGTGATAGGACCCCGGCAGAAATCCATGCTTTCTTATGCTTTATGGCCTCCTAACCTGGCATTGTATGTCTCCAAACCTAGGTTCTCCACTTCTCGAGAAGGCTGACTCCACTGTGCGAGTCTCTTGGCAGCCTACCGGTCCTGCGTGCAATTCCCAATCGAGACGCGCCAAGTGGGAGGGCGGGATAATAATGAAGATGATGATAATAGTAATAAATCTTAATAGGAATAAACAGTAATAATCAAAAAGACAACAATAACAATAGGGAACTTTGAAAAATCTCGAAGGCCCGCATCAGCTCTCGGAAGTCGGCTCGGCCACGCCGATCGTTTGATCCCACCCGACTCTGGGAAGAATGGTTGGCGCTGACGGTCCACGCAAGGTTTCGCACAGTTGCGCTGGCGTGTCTGTACTGAGGACCTCGGTTTCGAGACCAAGAGCCACCGCAGCCCCTGTGGTCCCATGCCTGTAGTAGTTGTTGGCTGTATCTGCGGTCGCATACCCATGCCAAGCTTCGGACTACCTGCCTAATCCTGCCTCATCCTGCCGATTTATCTGCAGGTACTATGGTGGCTGGGGCATGCGTCCAAAGATGCTTGGCCGGGATAAGATGTAGAAAAGGCACCTTCGGGCAGCTGCTGGCAGCGGCAGCGTCAATCTGCTCAATGAGTTCCCGATTTCCCCGTTCATTCTGCTTAGGTACCAACCAGGCCGCAGCCTGGGACGACGCTACCCATATGCAGCCACACCGCAACTTGAGAGGGGCTGTCGGGTGTCTGTGAAGTTGCACTTAGGCTTTGGGGGTTGGCTTCCTGCGCCGAAATTCCTGTTCATGGCCCTAGTTACGACCCCTCTTCTCTTCTCTTTGCTGTTGAGGCCCGTGTGCCCATCGGGCCACGTGGAGCCGCCTGGTCTCTGCGAAGGCCATGTCCGCATCATGAGGGGATTTCTTCGTAAAACTAGGGCCCTTGTATATGGTATATATAGGCAACTTTTATGGCCGGCTGCCTTTTGAAAGGGACTTCCTCAAGGGGCCCTTGAGAGTGAGCGATGTGAAGCCGTTGATAGCACCCTCGGCTCCGGCCTAGATACGGAGACATGGAATTGTTGGCTGTGTCCGTTCATTTTTTCTAAGAAGACTAGATTTCAATGTGGGATGGTGCGATGCACTTTGTGACTGGCAGGTGATCATCTGAGAACATCTGCCCATGCCGCTGCAGCGAATTCAGTCTGGAAAGTCGCAGCATCGTACAACATGCGTCAGGTACGTACACTATCTTACGGGCTTCTGAATGTAAACAAGTCGTCTTACACTCCCATTCCTCGTCCCTGGCGCGGCTGAGCAGCTTTCGCAAAAAAGTCATACTTGAGCCTCGATTGTGTGCATGGATTCATCAGATGACGCACGTGGAGCTTGTGACGCACGTGCTGGCAACAGTCTGGCCCAAGAGCATAGCAGAACTTTAAACAGTATTCACCGGCCGGACGTGGAGGTTGGAGTTTAAAACTCCAAGACTAAGGACCTTTCAAACGGGATGCTCGCTTTGTGTGAGTGTGTGTGTGTGCTTCGTGTAGAGGCGTCGATACTGTGCCGAAAGTACAAACATGTGTGCTCATGCAGCCGATGCAGCTGGCAGGTGCGCGGTGTCACGCGAAATGTATGCCCTGCAGCCCATGAACGAGCAGGAACGACTTGTCGGTGAGGACCATTGCTGTGGCGTAGGGACATGCCACCATTTGTCTTGCTACGTTACATAGCTTGACGGATAACCAGAGACAGCACCGAGCTGAGATGTCAAAACTCTTCTTTGAGTGATAGAAGCTTCTGGTCATTTGTACAGTCCAGCTGGTCGCGTCTTGCCTGAGAAGGACCCAGAGTTTGCTGACGACACTCAGTCGGATGGGGACCATCAGCAGATACAGGCGAGAATGGCGAGAATTCACATGTTCATGCCTTTGAACTTTTCGAGCCCAAAAAAGCCAGATCCAGGTCTGCCGCGCACTCCGACATGGCATGTTGGCTGTCGCTGTCCGGAGCCTGGGACATCGGAGAATTGAAGGAATGAACCTATCATATGGAAGCCAACATGGAGCGTGGGCTGCGTGCTTTTCTTCCCGTGGCCTGAGGTCTTCGCAGTCATCGGCATTGGATGTCTTCACCTTTCAGGAAACCAGGTGCGCTCAGCTGAGCCGCCTTTTGTTTTTGTTTTTTCCCAGAGCAGATGAACAGAGATCCGCTGGGCCGTCCATGGTCCTGGCACCGAAGCTCTGTTTGGCCCATATGCTAACCCTCAAAGCTTTGAGTTACCGTCGAAAGTTCAGTGATTCAGGGTCTTGGGATGTGCACTTTGAGCAAGCTTCGGTCTGGTGTGTGTGCGTATGGGTGTGAGTTGAATGTTCCTGCTCTGCAGTTTGGGGTAGGCCGGGCTTTTGCGGGGGCGCATTGCCGGGGCATCCGGGGCTTGTCATAGCTGAAGAAGGGGTCGAGAAAGAATGCCTCGGCAACAGTGTTTGCCAAAAGCAGCTGAAGCTGCTACGGTGCCAGCACGCGCACGTAGACCTGCAAGCACTCGAGCAGAATAAGACCAGATAGACCAGGCAAGACAGTAGATTCAGCAGATCTCATGACCTCATGAGGCGAGCTCATGAGTTTTTGCAGGCTGCGAGGTCGACCGTCCATGACACGCAGGCGCAGTTGTGAAGACTCGGGGCCGACCTTGAGTCTTCAACGATGCGGTTGTCATCAAGCAGACCTTCAATACCATAGATGGTTTTAGTCTGCAGCTTTTGCAGTTCAATGGACTAAGCAGTGATGCAGGTCAAGGCAGGAATCTATGGCAACGGTGCCTGGGGATCGGAGTGCGAGCCCGAGCCAGGGTAGCTTGAGCTTGTGTGGAGTTCAGGCTGTGTGCCCTTCGCCCCTCTGAGGCTTGCAGCCTCGGCGTCAGCCCCGGCGCCAGCCGCGGCGGCTGTGCCGGTTTCAGCCGCGCCGGCGCCGGCGCCGGCCGCGGCCGTGCCAGCTGTGCCGGCCGCGGTGCCGGTCGCCGCCGTCCCTGCTGCCGCAGCCACAGCTGCCGCAGCCACCGGTGCCGCGCCAGAGTCGGAGCCCCAAATTTCAATGGGCCGGTCATGGTCAACCTTGATAGGGCTGTCCGTCGAAGTTGGCGGCAAGATTCCGCGTTGCACCGATTTGCGAGCGCATTCAAGGCAAGCCGTAATCAACAAGCAGATTGACTCGGTGAACCAGCTTACGTGCCTTAGCTGGCTTATGTAGGTGTATAAAGTGCTAGTTCGGTGCAGTTCTGGATCGCCACGCTGCGCAACCGTGGGTGTTGAGCTGGGTGCTAAGGGGGGGCACCGGGGTCTCGGAAGTGGTCAGCCCAGCCCTGAGAGAGAGATGCTTTCAAGCTTCTCGCGTTGCCAGATCTCGCATTGGGCTGCTGAGGAAGCTGCCGACCGTGCTTGCGCAGTCATGTGCTAGAATATTTTGTTTACATGTGTGCAGCCGAGATGTAATCAAGGATTGAGTTTTGGTGAAGGGCCTGGTAAGTAAGGGCCTCCAAGAGTGTTTGGGGTTGACCCCTGAGAGATCGGAGGCTTCCCACAATATTGAGGTGCTCAATCCACAAACAACCCGCTCGCACCAAAAGAGAACCTGGCAGATGGCAACGTCCAACACCCAGCTTTCGGTGCGCACCGTGTGTGGTCCGAATGCTCAGAAGTTCCGGCTTCAGGAGTGCTCCGATGATGAAGAAGAGTTCCAGGAGATGTGCTACAAAAAGTTGGCTTCTCAGTTCGAGAGCAAACAGAAACAGCCACTCGTCCAGGGCCGAAAGCTTCAAACAGACAAGGGTGATTCTATGGGTCAGACCGATAAACGAGCACAGCCATTGGTACAATCCTTCAAGCATGCATCCTCCCGGTAACATCATGCTAGTCTGAAGAATGCCAGGGACAACTTCGGGTTGTAGAAGAAAGTAATGACAAGCAACGGCCATGCGACGTGGTCGCATGGGTCGCCGCAATGTTTCGAAATACTAGCATGAACAAGTGAGCTGAAATCAGACCAGCATCGAGGTCGAGCACATTCCTTTTTTTTGTGTCTGAGGTGCTCCATCTTGACCAACGGCCAGATGACGAAGCGCGTTAGCAGAAGGCTCAGGCTGTGCTTGCCTGGCCTCGGGAGCCAGAGGCCAGAACTCTGGAGTTGCTGCCCGAGAGCCGAAGCCGCGATTCATCAGCCAAGGTGCCTTCGAATGCTCCAAAACCGAGGGCTTCATGGGCATCGTCAAGGGACAGCCGCAGACTTAGTTAGCAGGAGCGCCCATTGGAGCCTGCACTCCGTCAAGCTCAGGACCGCAGGCTTCCCTATGCCGTGCCAGGGCTACGATGTCGCTGGCGATGAGGCAGGGGGTGGCTGTCCGGCCCTCAAGCTGACCCTGCTCATGCTCCACGTCTGAAATGTGGCATTGCCCAGGCCCGCACAAGAAGGGCGCATGCCTGAAGGATGAGGAGCTGTACCTGGGCAAGCCCAGGGCTCACTGCGCACAGTTTTCGCCACGTGGGGGGGGGGGGAGGCTGTGCTACGTGCACTCGCCTGTGTAGTTGATCGGTTCGATGCACTGAGGTGTTTCAAGAGCTGCGCGATGCTGACAGCAAACAAGTGAGCCACGCCCGCACTTTCCACAGGCTGAAGTCCTCTACTGCGATGTAGCAATCGCTTTAGCTGAAGCCCCAACCTGGGGCCAAGTCTCCCGACGGCTCTCTTTTCTCGGGGCTCTTGAAGACTGCGAGAGGTCAGGAGTTGCGAGTTTCATAGCCAGTTCGGTCAATACATGCCGTTCTTGAAAGCTGGTTCTAAGCGCAAGCAAGGGCTCTGTATTCTTGTAGCGTCAATTTGCGTCATCAGCCATCGTCAGGGCTGATTTGCACAGCCTGCAGGTACACAGTGCGAACGGGCGCTGAAACCTGCTTGGGGCCTCGAAGTGGTAGATGCGATGCTTTGAAGTGCTGAGTGGCGGAAGTTGGCAAGAAAGAGGCTATGGGCACCAGTCCGCCTGGACTTGCCATTGCCGATAAGGCTGCAACACTGAGAATGTGTTCTCCTGCATGAACCCCACGAATACGAAGTTCTCCCCTGTGTCCGGCTTAGTTCATGGCAGGCACGTTCACGGCGTGCACGTTCATGCCGTCCTGGGGCTTGCGGAACACTTGCACTTCTGACCGGATGCTTTCCATCGCATGGCTCTGAGGACTACAACGTCGGAGGCGGCATGAGCAGCAAGGAGACACGTGAGACCCAACCCCCCCCTCCCCCTTCTGAAAAATGACAGCAGATTCCACAACGGTGCGACAGTATGACACCCCGGAAGTATCCGTGAGCTTTATGTCGCGATTGCAGTTTGCTTTTCGCTCCCGTCATCTCCCGGCTTTTGAGGAGTCGCAGCCTCACAGCCCAGAGGTGAAGCTCACGGCGTGATCCTCAGTTCTGGGGCTATGCCAAGCTTACCGCGGGGGAGCTATGGGGACACTGGCTGCTTTTCGTGGGGCAATCCTAGCCCTTTGAAGGAATGCTGTCGTTCTTCTCTCTCGTGCCATGAGGAAGCGAGATGATGTGGATTTACGAGGTCAGCACATGCAGCACTCAGTTGTCACTCGGGACTCCTGACTGTTGTAGCCTCGAGAGGTTTTTTGAGGCTGTTGTGTTTCCCAGCACAGAGACAACAGTTCGTCCTGACATGCCTTGTGTGCAGAGCCTTCGTTGAATCATTGCGTGTTTCGCGGGTCATGGCTCTTCTATTCCAGGCAGATTTAGGGCCCCCTCTTACTGTCAAGTTCGGCCTCAGTTCACTTAGCAACGTAGGGATGCAGATAGCAAAGCAACCCATTCGTGTCTGGGCAGGTTCTACCACGCCGGGGCGCGAAGTCGCCGAAGGCGCCACCGCCATTAATGCTTCTGCAACATGAGCCGTTCGTGAGCTCCCACGTAGAGCGAGCACCAGTTTTAGGAACATTTTCTGTGTCAGTTATTCATATTCATTATCAGCTACTCTGCGGCAGATGAATCGAGCTAAGACAATGCTTTCGTTATTGCCAACCTGAAGAGTTGTTGTCAAAGTTCTCGGCGGAAGACCGCCGGGGCGAATTTGGCGTGCTTCATGGCTTGGATTGTGCATGCCTGGCGAGCCACAAAAATAGTGGTAATGTACAATTTGGAGTTGCTACTGCACTGTCGAAGTCAAAAAGGTGGTGGCTGTGGGTCATGCCTCGCGGGGGTGCTTTCGCTCGATGTTTGCACGTCGGACTCCCAACACTTTGTGATATACTCCTGGCCCAAGGGTGGTTATTGAGTTATGCAGCAGCAGCAGCAGAGGCAGCATGATGTCATGCCATGTCATGGAATTATGCTGAATCAGCATGCCATCGCATGCAAATCCTCAATGCAGACGCTATCAGTGTCTTTGTTCGGGTTTTCATTTGCCAGAAAGTCCAATCCGAATCGGTGTCCTGCCACAGCCAATCAAGCTGAACCAAGGTTCCCCTAACACCTTTTCTAGCTGTGTAGGTAGGTTTAATGGAGCCAACTGAGCCCGATGCCTTCGAGGCAGGACTTCGAACTGATATGAGCCTGCAGAAGGTAACAGATGTGGCAGGTCCCTTTACCGCCAGAGATTGGTGACACCGGCGACTCCGGTGACCCAGCGGAGGTCAAGGAGGAGGTCAAGCAGGAGGTCAAGGAGGATGAGAAGAGGCGATGTCAAGGAGGAGTGTAAAGTAAGAATTAGCATCGGGGAGGGCCAGGAGCGTGAATGAAGTAGCATGGGTGGCACACCAAGCCCTAACCCGACACCCAACTAAGGCAGTAAACCCCTTAGTTCTCAGTAGGGAGTGAGGAAAGTCGGGCCCTACGTGTACCCGTTGAGGGATTACATAGGGTACCTCTTCCCTCATTCGAACCAGCCAGTAAAAGGGAGCTTGTGATCTGGACAGGCCCGGGCTTCCTTCTTGGGCGATGCTCCCGTGGCAGCTTGGCCGAGCGTGAAGGGCTTTCCATTCGCTTCCCTAGCCCCAAACCTCTGTCGTCGACCCTATTCCATATCTCCACAGTTTTTCAACCCCTAAACCCGAAATAAACCCTAAACCCTAACCCCTAGACTCTAAACCCTTCCCCCCAAAACACCCTAAACTCTGCAACCTCGACCCTCTCCAAACTTTATAAGCCCTCGACCCAGGCTGGCCCTGGTCGTCGCCTTGGTCTTGGTGCCGCTGTCGATCGGCGCGGAGGTTGCAGCAGAGCTGCGCGTGGAGGCGCCTTGGGTTTGAACTTCTTGTGCCGTAGGAGGCCAGATTCGTTTCCTACCTTTCAGTGAGTTCTTTGACCGTGGAGCGACACGCAGTGTCAGCGGCTTTGTGTTTACTTTGCATGTCGACGTCTTGACTGGCAGACCTCCGGCCTCGTCAGAGCATCCAGTGGAGGTGCATCTTCGGTTTGTATCCGGTACCTGGGTCCGCAATCCCCCACTCTTTAAGATGTAAAATCTGGACTGCCAGGCACAGCAGCAGCGGCAGGGGCAACAACCCAAAGCAGCCTCCAAGCTCTACAGACGCTGCCAGAGGCACCGGTGCAGTCAGAATGACATCTGTGTGGCGATGCACAGACTTGAATACCTCAGCCCCTGCTCACCTGGTAAGTCGTAAAGCATCGGGAAGCCTGCGGTGCACCCATGAGGCAGACTTGCGTCGCATTCGAGACTGCAGCTTCGTGCACCATGGCGCTTTCTATCGCGCCGGGCCAAGCTGCAGGAGTTCTGGGTCCGGTGATTACGGTGGCATCACATGCCGCGCCACTTGCTGCATGAAGCTGTACCGTAAACCACCTACCAGAGGTTTTTAGGTAGCAGGAGCTGTTGAACCTAGCTGAGCTTAGCGCAAGTGCGGCACACGAGGTCTCCGGGTGGCGAGTCTCGTCCGCACCCGGACAGATGTTACAGTTGCCCGTGCCTTACTTTTGCTCCAACTGCTGATTTATATCCAGCAACGTGTCAGGTGCATCAGAAGCTCCTGAATGTGGCAGAAATTTTCTGTATGTTCCCGTGCTGTCTTTGTGGTGCGTCTGGTGGAGGGAATTGGCACGGACTCTTGTGTGCTGTCGAGCGTTCATGTCGCAACCTGCCATGCGGTCCTCTCAATGGTGGCCATCGTTTTTCGCTTCGTAATATCTGTGTCGAGCATGGTGCATAATGTTCCCGGTGCCCGTTCTTGGATCTCACCAAGAGAGCATCGTCTGCATATGTTCGGGCTACATGGTATGTAAGGGGCTTCAGTTCTCAGTTGCTCCGATATCATCCAATCCCGCAAATGTGGGGTGGGGGGGGGGGGGGGGTGAGGGGAGAGAATTGTTTTGCTTTCATACACCCCCGGGCCGAAAGTTTCGACCCACGGCACATAATATTGGACAACATGCAAAGTTTGCATGTCAAACGGTGCATACTTGCGCAGAGTCGCGGAGTGCCGAAAAGTCGCATTTTCCCTGCGCCTGCTAGCGGAGAAATTAATACCCCGTTTTAAAAATATAGTACTATAGAAGCTCCGGAGGAGGCCCCCAGCCCCATTGTGTCAGGAGTCTATGGGGAAGAGGGCGGGGTATGGGTGTAAGAACCCCAAGATGTTGGTGGGTCGAACTATCGGCCCGGCGCAGTATGCCCAGGTCACAGATGCTCCCAGTCCCAATGTATTGCTTGCTAGCATCGCTTGGCATGGAGTTCTTCTCATCGCAAGCACTTGGGGTGTGATTCTCTTTCCACGCTTGGGACTGAGGTCGCCCCGGACCGGGCCACGCTTCAAATAGGCTCGGCCACCCATGGGGTGAAGCCTCAAATCGAATGGGCTGTTAGGGGTTGAAGGTTTTTGAAGTTGAGGGAGTCGTGCGGCATTCTTCAGTAGAACTCCGGAGCTTCTTGCACGCTCTCGTTGCCGCAGCCGGTGTGTATGCTCAACACTCTGAGAATGCTTGCTGGTCGTGGTGGTGCTCGGTTAGCATCTTCTTGTCATGGTTGTGTTTGTGGTATTGCAAAGCACTACAAGATTAAGTCAGGCACGATGAGGCACTGACGTGGTTAAGTTTAAAATCAGGAGCAGGGGAGCGAACTACGTACAGCAGATCGAGAACACCATGTTATTTCACGGTACGACACATATGTCCTGAATCGCAGGGCATCTTTTCTACCGATCCCCCAGAAAAAAACGCAGCTTTCTCTCCATGCTTTGCTTATTCTTGGCCTGTGTGCTGGTGACTGGCTGCTCCGCTCAGAGCTTTCGGCCCGGGCATGTTCCACCAGCATTGAGCCTTTGCCTGGCTTAAGATGGCTTCAGGTTAACGGGTTCAGGGTTCGCGTCTCTCCTGTCACGTGTGCACTTCCCACCTTAACATGTATTTTCCTAGATGTTGGCCTTTGCCTGGGTCAGCTGAGGATTTCAGTGCCATTAAAAGACTCAGAGATCTCAAACGCTTTGGAGGTGCTTCGAGAAGATGAGAGCAGCTGGTACTTTGTACCCGTGTTAGGAGAAAGCGACACGAAGGCATATCCGCGTGAGGTCAAAGAGCAACTTGCCAACGTTGGCTCCTACATCTATGGGCCAAGCACCATCTACAGTGGTCACTGCCCATCTTACCTAGGGCAGGACCAAGCCGGTCTGCGACATCATGAGAACTTGAAAGATGAGCTGGACGGGAAACTTGGCTGGCTTTTTGATCGTATCAAGCAGGCCTTGCAGCAGGCCGTGGCCCCGGACCAAGTCGACGACGAGTGGATCTCCTATCCCTACGTCAAGATGCATCGCGGGGACACCCTCGATGGACTGCCCGACCAAATTCGCAAGATGGTGCTGAGCCCGGCGCCGCCCCACAAGGATGAGCAGTACATCAAGCACACGAAAGCCGAGGAGCGATCTTCCGCCCAAACGCTCACTTTCACCTTGCCCTTGCAGGTCCCTGCCGGTGGTGCAAGTCTGCGGGTTTACGACTGCTTCTATGACAAGGCCCTTGGGAAGACCGTGGACAAGAAGGGGAAGGTGCTGGCGCGTCAAAGCAGTGACTGGTGCCTCCGGGAGATGTCTTTCGAAGACGCCACTCGGTCCTCAACTATTGAGCTTTAACAAAGAGAGTCGCTTTAAGAGACTACAAAAGGAAGAGATGCAACAAGAAAAGGGCTTTAGGAGCAAGCAAGCCCACTAAACAGCCAAACACAGTTTGGAACGGCACGTTCTGCCAGGTCCCTTACATTCCTGGGCGCATGCTGCTCTTTTCTGGTGACCAGCTACATGCTGTCGGGCCCTACTACAATCCAGTTTCCTCCGATCGACGAATTGCATCTTGTCGCAGAAGTTGCTGAAGCAAGCTCGGGGGCGTTCTGAGGTAACAGTTGAGGCAGCGGTTGAGGCAAAAGTTTAGGCAACCGATCCTCGTCAACTTGTCCAATAGATGCACTGCTAAGGTGCTGCAGGGACATGGCATATTCCGCGATGGAAAGTGGCGCCTGTTCGGATAGCTCGAGTCTCCTTCAAAGACCTGCTCTAGGCAACGCCCTGAAGCTGAGCCATTGCGGCCTGAAAAGGAAGGGGCCTACGCCAGCGCCAGAAGCAGTAAGCAGCTACAGCAGTCAGCTTGATAATTACTTTCGCTTGTCCTTTGACCCGAGTGGCGTTGCAAAGTGCATATTTGTATCTAAAAGGCCTAGGACACAAATCGCTTCAAGGCTGTACGATGGGGAGTTCCTTGGGAGTCCTTGGGAGTCCTTGGGAGCTTGGGGGCTTTCGGAGAATTTCAGGGGCTTAGCTTTCTTGCTCGGGGTTGTGCCGAAAGCCGAGAGGCTGCGCAAGTGCTTGGAAGTTCACCCGTATTCGCGGCATGTGGGAAGCTACTCTCCTAAGTCCCGTGAGGCACACAGCGGGTGATCTTCTCGCGGCCCTTCACCGGGCCCCAGGAGGCCTGCGCGGCGAACGCCTGCAATACAGGAGTACAGCCCGAAACCGTTCCAAGCCCTGGAAGGTAAACTCTCGAGCCGTTGGCTGCTCAACAAGTTGCATGTGAGCGGCAGGTAGAGCCGGATCCGTCGAATGATGGCCCCCTGGCTGGCTGCACGTTCAGAGCCGGTGCCTCAAGAATGCCGAGGATGCTTTTGGGTTTGGGGCCGCTTGGGAGCTGTAAAGCCAAGCCTCCATGCTCAGGGCAGGACCGACGTCTCGCAGGCAAAGCCTTGATTGGGGTAGCTGGCACCCAAGTCCTTACGGCTTTGCAGTCTGCTGCTCTCTACATGGGCCATTCGAGAACAACTCGAATTACCCGTCTTCGCTGTGCTGTTGCAATCAGAGAGTCAGAGCCTGTAGCAGTTGCGATCTATGTGTTGTTGCATTGAGCTTGGCCTTCACGCCTGACTAAGGTGACGTCAGTGGTTTGTATCACGCGTTTCACCAGTTTGCGAGGGGAGCTTATCTGAAGAAGCTATGACTATGACTATGATGCACGAATTTCTGTACTTGCGAACTGTGTCAGGTAATCTCTGTTCATCATTATGCGTAGTATCGGCGTGTGGTGTTGCAACTATGTGTGATCAGGCAGCTGCATGCGGTTGCCGCAAGCAAAAACTAATGCACATGTCCTGGTATTGGGCTTGCAGATGGCTTGTGCTGACGTTTCTGTGCAGCATTGTCATGATGCTTGGTAACGATTTTCTCAAGGGTGCAACGTCTCACCCGCAATACTCGTCATGGGTCCCAGCAACAGCCATGTGCCAATAGGAAAAGACGCCTATTGGGTTCACGGGCGCATACAGGCGCCACAGGCGCAGACCCGAAACCCACACCTCGTTCCCTCACCCAAGGAGCGGTTGTATCCCTAGTAACCATCCATCACTTATTGCATATTCAAGCTTACCTATCTCATATAGATGCATACAGCGCTGTCGTTGTGTTATCACAGAGCTTTAGACGATTCCAGCATGGCGCGGCTTGCACAGGAGGCGCTTTGGTTGGCGAGTTCCAGCCCAACCTCTCTGGCAAGCTGCACGCAGAAATCTTGTTAATGCAGAGCCGACATGGCGACAAGAGCGCTCTGTTTCTGGCTTCTGGCTAGCTTAGCGAGGTCTTCTGAACCCCTTGATCTGTGGCTCATCTGGACAGACCGCGATGGGGCTGACTTCTTTTTCACCTCCAGCACATGCGCAACGGTTGCCCTGCCTGATGCGAGCATTGTAGGGAATGAGCTGGCTGCCCCGCCAAGCAATGGTGGAATTAGTGACATGCTCTTCTTTGTGGATACCTTCGAGTTCGTCTTTGTGGAAGGCGGCAAGCTGGTTCGGGCATGGATGGACAAGACGGGTCGATCTGAGCTTGGCCCCTTGCCGGGAGACGCTCCCGAGCCCATCGTGTGGAATACAAGCGCCACCGGCCCAAGCCTGGGAGAGGAAGGGGCCCTCGCATGGACCCAGGATGCTGGTCTGGCAATGGTGTTCTTTGCATCTTCGTTAACGAAGAAGCTTTGGGTTTCAAATCTCAGCTCTGTCCCACCTCGAGATGCCTCTCACTTGGGCCCATGGATGGAGCTGGTGCAGGGCCAGGACACAAGCGCCCGGCCCCAAATCCCCGTGTTGGTGGCCAAGGACGGTAGGATGCTTTGGAGCGATGAGATCGCGCTGAGGAGCTGGAAGGCAGTGGACGCCTTGAATGACGCCTCGGCTGGCGGCAGTTCCGGTTCAACCGTGGCTCAGCTTGGCCTTGGTTCGGACGCATGGGGCGAGTTGTTGGCGGCAGAGGCGTCCCACGATGGAGGCTTGCTGTGGGTTCGCCGAGTAGATGGCAACCCACCCCAGCTTGAGCACGTACTACATCTAGATTCCTTGATCGATGGACCTGGTGCAAACTATGCCTCCGGTAATGTTGCTTGACTCTTCAATGCTCTTCAGCAGTCAGGCTAGGCCTGCTGCTGGCTGGTAGTGCAGGTAGCCTCCTTGTTTGAACAGAGCCAACATACCAAATTGCAGCTGGCACCGCTGGCACCTAGGTACGGCTGCTGCATCGCTTCTCAGAGAATGATGAGCCTTCTGCCATAGCAGTTCCCCCAAGTCCAGGGCCAGGCCTACCATACATGGGAACCTTGGAATGAGGAATGTCTGCATGGGTCGGATGTCCAACGCTCCCCTTTTTAACCTGACACCTTGCATCCAAGGAAATCTGACGGCCTTGTTTCAGCAGGTGTATTTCTCGATCCTGGGGCCGGAAGCACAAGCTCGTGTCGAGACTTGGCTTGCGGTGTGAGTTCGTACAAGCATGTTGAAGTGCGCGTGCACAGCGAGGCTCTTGAGCGACATGACGTGTCTAAGGACCATTTGTCTCTTGACACTGGCGAAGCCGTTCGGCCACTACATTGTAGGTACTTGCAAGGTCTTGTTTCGGCATCCGGATGTAATCGGAACCGCTGCCCCATGGCCTGAAACCTGGTAGGCTCTGAACCCGAACCCTAAACTTAAGCCGTCTCTTCAGCTCAAAAGGTCTCCACAGTCGTCTTTGCCGGGGGCATCGAGCGGCGTGGGGCGAACCCAGCTCGGCCGGGCGCACTGAGCAGCCCGACGCAGAGTACAGTTTTGAGGGCCAAAATGAATTCCGAGTTTACTGCTTAGGGCGTTTCGGGTTTGGCTTGAGCTGACTGGAAAAGTCTTCAGCAAAGACCTGCAAAGACCGCTTTGTTCGTCGGGTTCAGGTGACTAGGCGCCTAGCAGCTAGCATTTTTCACTTTGGCCTGTGCTTCTGATAGTCAGCCTGCCAACGAGGCATATATCCCATGCCGGATGTTTGCGTCAATGCGCCCTGGCTCACCAAAAGCGGGAACGGGCCACATCCTGGCGCAGAACCGGGGTGTAGTGAATGAGGATCAGTGGAGCATCAGTGGGTCTCCTTGGCCCTTGGCAAGGTTGGCTGCCTCTACCTTGAGAATGCCTTCAGCCACTGCGAGAGATGCGACCAGACCAGCATCTGCGACACCTGCTTCCTTGATACCGAGGACACTGAAAGACCGAGAGGCGTATGAGAGCTGGTGTAGAAGCGTAGGTTGCTGGAACTTCCGCCTCACATCGGTTAACCATGAACTTTTTGTTTGCTCGACTGCTGTCGCAAGGACTGGCTGATCAAGGAGTGGTATCCCACGCATACCCTGTGGTCGAACTGCGTTTGGCTCTGGCCCATTGATCAGGCGGTCGTCTTGAAGAATCCGAATCTGTAAAGCTTCCACTCGCACCAAGCCCAAGCCGGGCTGCCCAAGCATCCCAATCCAGAAAAACCCTTCAGGCAAAAATCCTCCTTGAGAATGCCTGCACTTGTTGACCACCTGCATGATCCCCGTGGCCTCTCCGCCGTCAGGCAGCCTGGGTGGTGCGGACGCAGGTGCAGCAGGCGAAGGCTGGTTCGTGCTGGAACGGTCTACCCTGGAGAAACAATGACTTCTCTGAGTGACTTCTCCAAGTCATCTCGGCCGTGCAGGATGATGGTCTTCTTCCTGATGACTTCATCTTCAAGGACACCCATGCAAGTCAATGTAGCCGCTGGCATGATGACAAAATGTGACAAATATCTATTCGACCATTGCTCACAACCAGCAGCTGAGCAAATGCCGTTTTTTTTGACACTTTGTCCTAGAGTCTGACAGTCGTCACTCCCTCAATGCTCAAGCATTGGGTGGGCGTGCGGCAGCAGTCCATCCTGCTCAGGCGTGCAAAAATCCTAAGCCCGATCTCTGATCTCCAGGAGCTGCCACCAACCCCAGGCGAGTCAACACCACCCGACACCACACCCCCGCCGCTGACCACCTCTGCGACGCGGCTGGGAAGTTTAGGGTCTTGGAAGGGTTTCGAGTTGTTGGAGTGTAAGGGGGTCAGCTTTTGTGTTTTGTTAGGAGTATGGTGTTCAAACTGCAGTGTGGTGTTCAAGGTTCTTCTTCTCTTGCCGTTTGAAACATGAGCTTCACTTCACATTCAGATGAGGGCGAGTGCATGGGTGACTGGCGTGCCAGGTTGTAAGTTTCAAGCCGTCGCCCGCCGAATTGCTTGCTGAGCATGTGGCCCAGGCCCGCCCCACGACCACGGAGACAAGTAGCACCATCACAACGAAAACGGCCACAACGACTAGCACTTCGGCGACGGCCACCACGACCAATCCCTGCGCGGCATTTCCTCCCCTTCTAGGACACCATGACATCTTGCCAGTGCAGCGGCGCATGGGTGCGCCGGTCTCGAAGTCGTCTGTAGAGCGCGCGAAAGTCCCGCGACACATCGGCATGACCTGCCAGGAGATGCCGTTGATGCCTGTCGTGCTCAGATTGCTTCGTGGTGCGAGGCAGGCTCAGAATTTCGGCTCCGCACAGCTAAACACGAATTGCAGCTCCTCGAGCACATGAGCAAATTTGAGTACAACTTGAATTGCACTTTGGAGTCCGCGGGAGCAGGCCGAGCCCGAAATGGCAGACCTGCAGGGCGCCTACCAGATTTGGGGGGGTTCAAGGTAGCAAGAGGCAAGACCAGTCCTCATTTACACTAGCAGCGGCGCGAAGTTTTGTGAGTTTTTTTTTTCTGGCCTTCTTCTCAGCTGTTCTCAGGACTCTGGCTCCGCCAGGACTCCGAGCCCAGTGTGCGGCGTTTGCCTGGTCCGCAGAGGCAGGGGCTTGAAGACAAGCAGAAGTCATACTTAGCGACAGTCTTGCCATCTTTGGTGGTGCACACTTCTGGAAGAGGCGCTGTGCTCTGAGCCCACGGTGGTGGACGGGGGCGGAGCGCTGATCCCGGATGGCGCAGCTTTGGACGGCAGGGCCCTCATTGCCCCTTTTTGGTCCTCCGCACATTCAACCCGGTCGTGCTAGGACTGCTAGGTCTTAACATGGTCGGTTGCCTGACTGATTGTGAGCGAACCTGGCTTCAAGGCTGCAGCTCCTGCGCGGAAGTCTGGGGTATTGCCCTCCTGGCAGGCGAAAGTGCGTGGGGCTGAGCCTGTGATACAGAGCATGGGTTCTTGCGAGGCTTGGCTGTGCTACTTACGGTGATGGTCTGCATCACCTGGTGTCTGACCACCTGCAGGCAGGGCTTATCAAGAGCTGGTGCTATCTGTCCTAACTGCCCTTGCCCTGAAAATTAACAGACTGGTTGGCAAGGCATCAGTTTTGCGTTGCTTACCGAAAAATGACCGCAAGTGGTTGACATCGCAGGCGCTGGCAGGCTCAAGGAGCTGTCCAAGACCTGCGAGCTGCCGGGCGTGCTCCAGTCCATGGCTCGCCGGCTGCAGGCCTCGTTGACCTCGGGTTAAGACCGTTAAGCCGTGCTCTTAGGCACTCACCCGTGCGTGACAGTGAAGGTTTGCTGCTAGAGTCGCTAGAGATTGAGAGTGATCGAGAGACCCGCAGGCTTTGAAGCCGTCATGGACTTGGACTCGGCGCTGAATGCAGGCACAGGCAGCTCAGGCCAGCCGAGCCGAAGGCTGCCAAGATGGAAGTCCTGTGCCAGGCCAGCGTCAGAGCCGGTCGCTGTCATGACTCCAATGATTGCACTCTGCGTTCTCTAGGTCTACATGCAGCTACTGTATTTAATCCTTCTGTGGCAAACCAGCTCCGTCTTTGCAGCTTGATCCCAACCCATTTTCTCAAAGCCGGCTGCAACCCTGGGCAAGGCGTCTGCGCTGTCCTTGCTTTCGTGGGCCAAGAGCAGCTTCCAAGGCGGGTGTCACCACCGCAAGGGATGAAGGAAGGTCACGAGCCGTGGCCAGCTCTTCACGTTGTCAGGTCAAGCCCTCCCCTCCCACCGTGCCGAGCAGCCCTAAATTCGAAGATGAGGAGGACCAGATGCGTGGGAGTTTCAACTGGGTTTAGTCAGAGCTGCCCGGGCGTCCTGGAAGGTTCCCAACAGATGCACATTCCTTCCTTCTTTCAGGGACGTTTGCTTCCTTGGAGGACAGACGACCTGACAGTTCAATGAGTAGTACCGGAACCGTTCTCAGTGGCTATGCACGAGCTTTTGCGGCGGAGCTGTGCGTCTTAAGGACCATGACTAGGCTGCTCGGGCATGCTTCTGCATGTTCTGCTGGAGGTGTGGGGGACATCTCTCAGGCATCCTGCGGATTGAGGATGACACGTATGCTGATGGGCATCAATAGCTAATAATCGCTACTCCACTAGACGCTGACAGAGCAGTCGGGCAATAAGAGAAGACGACATGGACAGCCCTTCCACTTTTTGGATCTGAGCCTCTTGTTTGAGCTTTCCATCAAGCAAAAAGATTCTCGGAGGCCAGCGCGCCTGTGGAGCAGATAATGAAGGGGACTTGGCAGCCCGGTGCCTGGGTGTTTTCCAGCCTCATCTCCTCCACCCCCGCCCCCCGAGAACGAAGCCTAACAATCCCGCGAGATATTAGTACCTTGGCCCCCACATTGAACCGCACCCGCTAGGCTAGCTCGAGGTTTTGACAAATGTATGCCCAGCTTGAGAATAGACTTTGGCCCAGACCACCGTGTAACGTATGGTGACGGAAAAAGAGGCTGAAGTATACTAAGGCCGTCACATGCCGTCACCACTGCAGCCCAACAACCCAACATGACCGTCGCAGCCCGTGTCCTTCCTATCGCCGTGGCTTCCGTTATGAAGCGTTACCTAGAAAGAACTCCCTTTTCAACAAAGGGGAGGGAGGGAGAGAGAGAGAGAGAGATTTGGGAGCACACAAAATGGGACTCTCGCGCCCTTCGGGGCGGCTCCCCTCTGAGGGGCCTAGCGTGTGGAGAGAGAGAGAGAGAGAGAGAGAACCCAAATCCCCATCCAAAGCGAAATCCTGCTCAAGCGCGCCCAGGCCCGAGCTGAGCTCCGCAGGTGCCGCAGCAGCAGCGGGACGGCTGAGTGATGCGATGCCGCCCGGCGCACACCCAGGATGCAGGAAGTCGGGGCGCTGTTCGGGTTTGGGTTTGGGGCCTGTTGCGGCCCAAAATCGGCATATTTCGCAATTGCGGTAGAAGATACCACAGAAGATCTCAGTGGTAATCTTAGAGGAGTACACATCGGGGCCATCCATATTCCTGCGCCCACCCAACTCAACTGTCGTGGAAACTAGAATCCACAAACAAGTGCTCCCAGCATCTTGGTGACAACCATTGATACTTGCGTGAGCAGCTTTTCCCCACCCAGAACTGGGCTGTCATGTGTCGATTGATATTCGTCTATGTGCGTCCAGCTAGTCCGGTGAAGATTGTTGTATTTGATTTGTGGTATGGCTTGCTGCAGGTTGTTTTCTGAGGTGATTGGCGCCAGACTAAATTTGTAGCACAGTGTTGAAGCAGACGCCAAGCTGCTCAACTTCCCAGTGCTTTCATCCAGGCAGATGTCATTTCACATCATCCCTCCGTTTCCACTGATCCTCACGGTTGCTGGTTCTCGCTCGTGCCACAAGTGACCCCCAGTGTGCCGAGGCGGAGGTTCATGAGCCCTGGCAACGACGAGGCAGAGCGACAATCTCAAACATCACAAGCATCCGCTGATTCCTCGAAGCCTGCAGTCCTTGGGGAGCTGGACAGTTGGCTGCAGAGAATCAGGGCTCCACCACAGGTCTTGGGAAGTACCACAAGGGTGAGTCACGTGCACTTTCGCGGCATGTTTCAGGCTGCAGGGCATACTGTCGAGGGTTGGCTCAAACTCACATCTCAAACATCCTTGACTTGAATCTAAACTCCACAAGCCCCAAACCTCCGAAGGTATTGTGGTAGGTTCAGGTAGGTTACTCGGGCCTGGTGGCCTGGTCTTCCGCAGGCGGCCCGCTGGCGATTTCTTGACGACGTGGAGGACATTCTTCGGACTTTGGGCAGCGCGGCTTGCCTGTGATTCAGCTTATTAAGATAAAAAACAAGCTGTGCTTTCAGGGGCCTGGAGAGGCCTGCACTCCCCTTTTTTGGCGCTCTCTGATGCTCTCTGGAGGCCTTGCCCACAGGGGTCCGCAATGCAGCCTGGGCTTGGTAGGATCCTCAGACTCGAGGCTGCGCTGGAATATCTGCATTGGGTGTGCAATGCGGGTGGGGGTCTGCGCTTCAGAGTCGTGACTTTTTTGCAAGCTGCTTGCTGTAGACTGGAAGCCAGCTTCCAAGGCATGCGCGGCAGAGTGCTCGGCTACACCGCAGCCACGCGCTGACTGCTGCCTTGGAAGAGGCGAAGTCAGCACGCTTCAGATTCAAAGCAACCAACCAACTAGCATTGCTGAACTAAATAGCCCTCTGCCAGCTAAATAGCACGAACTAGCTCTGTCCAACTCGCATGGAGCTGGTCAGCCAAGCAAATCTGTTGTACACACAGCGTCGGACGGGTCTCCTCGGCAAATCTCGAGTGCTGTATGCCAGTTGTATGCCTGTGTTCAGACTCCCATCTGCCTTGCACGTCTGCGAACAACCTATTTCTGTCTCCTTTGCAGGCACGCTCGATGGCTGATGATTTTCGCGAGGCCACGCAAAGGTTTCATGAAGCTTCCTTGAGAACCCAAAGTCGGAAAGTCGTAAAGGTCGTAAAGCGGTAGAGATTCCCGGAGCAATGGGGCAAGCTCAGCAAGCTTCTC